CGAGTGGTCAAACAATGCAATCAAAAACTTAAAATCCCTTATATTATGGGACGGAGAAAGTAATTGATAGCTAGTTTTTAAAAATCTGAAGAAGTTGGGTTTTTCAGCGTCTGAGCTCTAGTTCATTTTCTGGATTGTATAACTATAGATTCTCAGAATCTAAAATCTGGGTGATAATGATTGTTTGGGGGAGTTAGAGATTCTGAGAGAAACTACATTAGCTGTGAGAGTTGGAGATTCTGGGAGAAACGGGAGTAACTAGAAGCCCCTACCAACATGTCAAAGCTGGGAAGTACGCATGTGAAAAAGTTGGGGACGAGAAGGCGAGAAAAGCGTAGGCCGTTGCTGCCGATCTGTCGTCCACACCGGTCTTGAAAAAAGAAGGCCACAGATACGCGAGCCTTTTGCTCGCCCAATGCGGCCAAAAACCGCGGAGGCGACCGGGCAATGCACAAGCACAAACACGTACGCCCAAAATTCACCGTGCCGATCCACTGTTCACCGAGCCTTTTTTTCTTCTGCTCCTGTTTCCGATCGAGACGTGTGCCTGCGCTGCGCAACTGCGTCGATCGCACGGGATTGGCCGGCGACGCGAACCCGTGCGCGAGAGGCGCGAGAGAGCACGGGCTCTTAGATGGGCGCGCCGTTTGCTTCAAAGTAGTAGCGGGAAAAAAATGGTGCGCACGCATCTAAAAGCCGTACCGTCCCGAGGCGAGACCGCAACGCGACAAGGCCACATCGCATCCGTCGTCTCTCGTACCAGTAGTACACCCGGAATCTTGATTAAAGAGGAGGGGGTCGGACCCCACGGCAAATCTAATCGCTGTCTAGTTGTAAAACTTTGAGTATAATCCCCAATGGCGAACGTCTAATCTCGAGTGGACCCCGGCCTAAACAAACACTGCTAGTTGTACCAGTATTAGGGATGGTGATTGGCTTGCACATGTTAGCCAACCTAATTATACTCACTAATAGTACACGTATTAGTACTCCAGTACTAGTATACGTAGGAGTACTAGATTCTGATAATGCCACTGTGCCGCACTCCCTGTTGTTTGGTCGGTCACACGGGAGATCTCTGTATATAATCAAGAGACATACTGAACTGCATTATATCAGTATCGCACGAGGTTTTGATTAATTTTCAGCTAAAATAGTTACTACTCCGTCCTATTTAGAGCAAGTTTAATAGTATGATCAACTACTAACTCCAATTTATTTATAGCCAATCTAATAATTCATTCATACAATAGTTACAAACTACACTATTAATACCTGGTCCCACCTGTCATACACACTGTGTCTTGGAGTCCGTGCTACAGCTGGCTACAAATCTGTAGCCCACTGCCCTTCTCTTTCCTAATTTATCTCCTTAAAATATGTTTTCAACTGGCTTATAGCCTGCTATTGTACCTGCTCTAATATAACAACCTAGAATTGAATGAGATATTTTATAGTACAACGAATTTGGACAGATACTATAAAATATCTCATCCAGTTCTAGGTTGCTATATTAGAGCAGGTACAATAGCACGCTATTAGCCAGCTATAAATATATTTTACTGAGATAAACGATGAGAGAGAAGTGTAGCGGGCTACAGATATGTAGCCAGCTGCAGCACGGACTCCAAGACACACTGTGTATGATAAGTGAGACCATATATTAATAGTATAGTAAGTAACTATTATATGAATTAGTTATTACATTGGTTATAAATGAATTGGAGTAAGTAGTGGACAGTACTATTAGACTTGCTCTTATGGGACGGAGGGAGTAGTATAATCACCGACGCGTTTGACTCCCGGGTGCAGGGCACGGTGGCACGCACCCACGCCCTCCCTGGTGCGCGGCGTCTCGTCGCACCGGCGCCCCTCGCGCGTCCGCCTCGGCTCCCACCGCGGACACCGCGCGCACCCGCGCCACCACGCCGCATTGCTGCCTGCGCGCGCGCGCTCGTCCAACTGAGCTGCGCGCAGCAGGCGCGCACCGCACCGAGACCTGTGGCGCGCCAGGCGCGGTGACACGCCCCGCCTGGCAACGTAGCAGCACAGCAGCGCTGCGCCGCGGACTCCTCACCCCCTTTGACGACCAAATAATGCTGTCGCTTTTGCTTTCTTCCTCCTGCGCCCCGCTTTGCCCCCACTTCCCACGCCCGCCGCGTTCTCGGTGCCGGGGCGGACGACGTCTTGGCTTGGCTTGTTTTGCCTCTTCGGTAGCCGGTGGCAATGGCATACGTGCACACTGCACACAGCCACACACACACACAACGATGCACGTACACCTCCACAGCGTGTGACTGTGTCCCCTCCTGTTTCGGCAAAAAGAAACAGCAGCGGGAAGCTACTGCCGTGAGACACAGTCACCACAGTGTGTGATAGGCACGCACGCGGGTGATAGTGTGGTACTACTACAACAACACGGTGTAGCGACGCGACTAGCCATACCGGCCGGCGAAAGGGAGAGTCGGGAGCGGCGGTGAAACCGGTCGCTGTTACGTCACCTAACAAGTGTGTGTGGCTCACCACCTCACAGGGAGCGGCCCCTCACCTACTTCTGCAACGCCCCCAACTTGTTTTTTGATTACCATGTATTTCTTCTTCTATCTAAACACACGCAACTCGAGTTGTAATTTTCTTTCTAAATAAGAAGTGTTCAACCCCTCTCTCTCTCTCTGATTTTTATTTAATTTTTTGGGGGTAAAGAAAGAACAGAGCTCGTGCTGAAACGGCCGAGATTTGGAAAGTGGTGTAGTGCACTCATAAAAAAGGAAAAGGCTATACATACTAACTTTTTCTTACTAAATTCTTACTAACACTGATATGTCATGTTATGAGTGCATCTATATTTTTTGTAACTTCCATCTACTTAAATCAAACGGTTGAGATGATTGTTAGTAAAAGTTTAGTAAGAAAAATTTAGTACGTGTAGCATTGCTCCATCAAAAAATGGTTTGCTGATGAATTCGGCCACGGTTGGTTTGTTTCCTGTTATGTCGGGGCAGGTAGGCCATTCTCATCAGCTTTGTTGCATGGCACATCGGAGTGATGATCATGATCCAATCTTCGGCCAAACCGGAATGTGGGGGGGGGGGGGGGGGGGACAAACATTCGATCTTGTGATAAAATCCTGCTCCGGTAAAGCTCAAAAAGGTCGCTCCTTTTGGACAAGACTTCAATCTTAAGGCAAGTTTTTTAGATTAGTTTTCTGTATCCAACCAGAGCCCATACGGCCATACGTAACAAAGAAAAAGGGAAGAATATAATACAGAAATTGTTTTATAGGATAAGATCCAAGCAAATTCACATTTCCGGAAAAATCAGCATGAGCTCACATGTTTACCGATTTCGTTACGAAATATATAAACATCAATATGTATATGGAATGAATTCACATTGTAATAAATAAACCCATTCCTAAAGATGTTTTGGCTATATGTGTAGCTGGTTTTGTGCTTAGAATTTTGAGCGTGGATATCTTTTAACAATATTTTGATTGGGTAACATCTACAGACAATAACTAAATTATGCGTTTCACCGTATGCGTTTCACCGGTACTGATATCCAAGATAACATGTTTTAACAGATGAAGTATGCTAAAATCCCTAGTTCAAAATTGACCTTAAAACATTGTACACGGTGATACTTCGAGAAGGTGGTTCGATTAAAATGGTTGGAGGTTACGGTCTTTGTCGAAATAAAACCATCCAAAGGTTCTCGAGTTATTAAAAATCTTAACCAGGTACCCTTTAATTTCGAGTGTTTACCATATGTAACAAAGAAAAGGTGAAGAGGCATAATATAAAAGTGGTTATGTAGGATAAGATCCAAGCAATTTCACATTTATGAAAAAATCAGCCTAAGCTCACATGTTCATCGTCTTCGCTAAGAATAATATAATTATCAACAGTGTAAGAAATGAATTCACGACGTAAAAAAATATGAAAAGAGCATATCATGTTTTGGCTATATGTGTAACAAAGTGTTTACATCTTCGTGTATCAATATATTTTTAAAGAAATGCTAAACAACGACTCCTGTCCCCACCATCCGCACACAGTATTGCCTCGTCTGCTTTTCGCACGCATGCTAGGCGTGAAAGACACCCTCTTAGTGAGAGATCCGTGCAACCCACGCCACTGCTACTTCCTGTGTGCGCCTCTCCTCCTCTTATAATCCAACTCGCTATAGTTGTTCTCACAAAATTTCCCAACAATTATAACCTAGCAAATAGCCTCCTCCTCTTGTGCGTCCTCGCCATCGACGCCGGCATTGCTGCTGTCGGCTGGTGGATCTGCTTGAAACATCTCCTCTTAAGGTAAGCACTTGAATTACTCTCTCTCTCTCTCTCTATAGATCTCAATAGAGCTTAATCTGTAGAGATTAAATTTCTATATTTTTTTTCGATATATTTTGTAGTGGATGTGGTTTTGTTTCTGGATGCTTAGATAGGTTGAGCTCCTATATTTTTATCAGATCTGATCCATGTACAAGTGGTACATGTTATACTAATATATTGATCAGATATTGTAAACAATCAATAATTTAATTATATATTTTCTTAAGAATACTAAATTATGCATTTTTAAGACACAATTGTTGTTTAAAATGACATGTTTTTATGACGAGATAAAACATGCTACAATTCCCAATTTAAAATTAACATTAAAGTATTGCACATAATGATAGGAGTACTTCAAGAAGGTGGTTGATTAAACATGGTAATAGCACTAGGAGGTTACAGAATTTCAATAAAAACCATCCAAGGGTTTTCAAGTCATTGAAAGCCTTAATTAGACACCCTTAATGCTCCAAGTATGCTTTTAGACTTATGCATGGGTCTTAAGAGCATTGATAGAAGGGGATATCAAAACGGCCGTGAGATAGTATCTGGAGAAAAATCCTGGTCCACCTCATCCACCCGAAAGCAACGTGCCACATTTCTAGGCAGAAAGGCCATTTTCTTCAGCCCCATTTGGCCATTTCATCTTCTCTCCTCTCCTCTCTCTCTTCGCAACAGGAGAAAGAGTACGGTGCGGCAACAGCTCGTACGTATACCCGTAGATGTATACGGGTTGATCTACTGTATACTACATCACGAATTGAATTATAAAATACGCATAAACAGTGAGGCAATACTAGTACTACCAACCCCTCCAGTTGCCCACCAGAAGGAGCAAACAGAGAGAGGCAGAAGGCAAGCTGCAGTGTTGGGGGAGAAGAAAGGAGAGAGAGAGAGAGAGAGAGAGAGATAGAGAGAGAGAGAGGCAGTGGCAGAGGCAGAGGAAGGGAAAGAAAGCTCCAATCTCGCCTCTGCTCCTGTCTCCAGGAAATCTTGATGCTTGCACATAAATGTAAGCACACCTCCCTGCTCTGTTACTAGAAAATCTTTGATGCTTCGGTTCTTTGTTCGGTTTGTTGGATCTGCGTTCGCGAGGTGGTGGTGTTAAAGGTTAGGTGATTTGGAGTTGGAGCTTGGCTTTGTGCCTGTTCTTGTTTGAGTAGTAGAGTAGGATTCTTGCTGCCATGTCAGGTTCGATCGTTTCTTTTTTACCTGAGGGTAGTTACTAGGATATGGTGGAGTAAATGAGATGCATCATGCCGCTTCCCTCGGTGGAATTTATTGCGACGCTTTTAGTATCCAATGCAGGTTCTTTGCTCTTGTTCTGGAAGCTGTAATATTTTTTTTTTCCTTCTGTTTTGGCACCGAGATTTATTCCTCTGTTCCTCTTGTGTCTTGCCCAGATCTGTGGCGCGGGGTTTTCTCCTTTCCTGCAGCTACAAATGCGCGTTTTTTTCTGTTTCTTGTTCGTTGCAAGGTAACTAATCCTGGGAGGTTTCTATCGTAGAGGTGATTCCAAGATTGGACATTTGGTACGCGAGCTCTGAGCTATCCAAGAACTTGGTGGTGAAGATGTCAGGTAGAAGAACGAATTCTTGGCTGCGAATGTTTGCTTTCTTGCGATGTTTTGTTCGTTTTTGATGGAATGTGGAAGGCGTCCTGTCCGTGCAGTGATCCATGCGGAGGACATCGAGATATCGCTGTGCGACGGCAACTCGGAGGACGAGCGGCGGCGGCGGAGGATCGGGTCCAACCTTCGCCGGAAGGCCATCCACGCGATCAAGAAGCGCGGCCGGCGGCGCGTCGACTGCCGCTTCCCGCCGGCCATCTCCATCGAGGACGTCCGCGACGCCGAGGAGGAGCGCGCTGTCGCCGCCTTCCACGACCGCCTCGCCGCCCACGGCCTCCTCCCCGACAAGCATGACGACTACCACATGATGCTGAGGTCTCACCAAGAAACAGCTTTCGTTTATGTTTTTTGGACATCATTTTGGAATGACAGGATCTAAGAACATGTCGTGGTTATGTTTGATACAGGTTCTTGAAGGCCAGGAAGTTTGATATCGACAGGGCAATGCAGATGTGGGCAGACATGCTGAAATGGAGGGAAGAGTTCGGAGCTGACACAATCCTTCAGGTGATCACACTGACCTTTTAAGTCCGTTGTTGATTAGTAGAGTTTTTGTTTGATACATCTTGGGACAATGGCTGATATGATATGAGTTTTCGTGGTCAGGATTTTGATTTTCATGAACTGGATGAAGTGCTGCGCTACTACCCTCAGGGCTACCACGGTGTCGACCGGGAGGGCCGCCCAGTGTACATCGAGAGGCTCGGCAAGGTCGACCCGAACAAGCTCATGCAGATCACCTCGGTGGACCGCTACATCAAGTACCATGTTCAGGAGTTTGAGAGGGCCTTCAGGGAGAGGTTTCCTGCCTGCACATTGGCGGCAAAGAGGCACATTGATTCCACCACCACCATCTTGGATGTTCAGGGAGTGGTATGTGAACGGTTTCTTCTTGTGCTCTGCCTGCAGATCTTGTGTTGCTTGTGTGCTTTTTGTTGATTGTTGTTTCTTCAACTTGTTTGTTCCATGCAGGGATTTAAGAATTTCTCAAAGACTGCGAGGGAGCTTATCAACCGAATGCAGAAGATAGACAGTGACTATTACCCTGAGGTCGTTTCTAATTTCATTGCGTAATGGGTTCGTTGCTGCCAGTATTTGGATCTGAAGAAACTCATTTGAACTTATAAATGCAGACATTACATCAAATGTTTGTCGTGAACGCCGGCAGCGGGTTCAAGTTGATCTGGAATAGCGTGAAGGGCTTTCTGGACCCAAAAACTTCATCCAAGATTCATGTAAGCTCCATAAGTATTTGAGTATTTTCAAAATGCATCATGAGGTCAACAATAGCCTTATTTCTCTGTCTTTATGTTAGGTTCTTGGTTCGAATTACCAGAGTAGACTTCTTGAAGTAATTGATTCCAGGTTGGTTAAGTTCATGTGAAGGAACTTTGTCTGAATTCTTGACTTTTCACATCTGTTTGTATATGTAGACTCTACAACATTTTAACAGTAGTTGTGTTTCTCAGTGAGTTACCGGACTTCCTCGGTGGGTCATGCTCATGCAGTGACAAGGGTGGTTGTCTTGGGTCGAATAAAGGCCCATGGAATGATCCTTTCATTTTGAAGGTACCTTTTTGTGCTGTAACTATTTGGAAGCTAATTCATCTATATGTTGTTAATATTTTTATACCATATTGTAAAAATACATCACTTACACATTCTCCATTTGTAGCTGATACACAATTTGGAGGCTGGTTGCGTCAGAGAGATCAAGCCAGTGTCTGACGGTGAAGAAAGAAGCAGCTCATCCCTTCGGTTGGAGCAGCCGAAGGCAAGATTCTGAAAACAACATTATCCAAATATCCAGTCAAGCAAATGGCAATACGGAGTGCTTATTCTTTTCCTTATCTTCTTCTAAACCTCACAAATAGACATCTGTGATTTCCAGTGGCAGGGCATGATTAGCGACATATCAAATGCTGAGTCAGGGTCAGACGTTGATGATTTTGGTTCTTTCTTTCAGAAAGGTGTTGACTATGGTTACCTCACTCCAGTCCATGAGGAAGTAAGTCCAAAGATTGTACTGTTCCATTTTAAGCCTAAAGGTTTCTTGGTTCTATTCAGTTTTTTGTTGGAACCTATGCTTAGCCTTGAACAAATAGACATCTGCTCTTTCTCTTGAGTTTGCACGGTTCCTTCTATGGTTTGATCTGTTTTATTTTTCTTAATGTAGGTAAGGGGAACAGATTCTTTGACTTACTATAGCTGTGATGACCAGACTCGTCGAGATATAGCTCCTGAATCTTGTAAGGGAGTGCAAGCTACTGGAATGGTGCAGAATCAGCTACCTGATAACAGGCAACCCTCCACAAATCGGAACCCACATGACTCAGGTATCTCCCATTCCTTCAGTTTTGCTTCTTAGTTCAGTGCCATCAAAATGTTCAATTAGTTGCTAATATTGCTATCAATTCAGGAGTGAAATTTGCATATTTGGTTGTGGCTCTAGTGTAGAACCATAATAATTGTCAAGTTGATTGAAAAAGAACTCGATTTTGCATTTCTGGTAGCTCACAGTAATGCTAGATGCCAGATGGCTTTGCGTAAAGTGTTTTAATCTGACAGGAAGGAATGAAGTACAATGCATGTGGCCTATCTGACACCTGTTTATGCCCTCATGGACCCATTCATTCATTGAACTTGCTGCCTTAAGATGTATAGTCATATGCATTAATACATTAGCGTTGGCATGTGTTCTTGCTCGATTGCAACAGTTGAAAACATAACGTAAAACTTGCTTCATCGCAGAGTGGGTAATGAAAACATTCTGTGTATGCCACTACCTTACTTCCAATTCGAGAAGTATTTTTTTTTAAATTTCTCTGCATGATCATCTTTGCTCGTTTATTTTAGTTCAGACTATAGATGCAGAATTTTGAGCCTAGCTCCAGTTTTTAGTGTGACTGGAGTAGTAATATGCTGCTGCTGATTTTGTTAATCTTATCCGTGTTCTGTTGATGACAGGAAACAATGGTCACTTGGATGGTGCATTTGCTCGAAGGAGTTTGCAAAATTATATTCAAGTTGTTGTCACAACCTTTATCAAGCTACTCTCCTTCCTCCGTCTCTTCATCTCCAGACCAGTGAGGAGGCTCGAGAATGTCCATTCTTGTACCGTACCTGTCCCATCTGAAGAAAAGCCAGAGCCTCGATCTATACGTGATGATGATATGACCATGTGCTTACAACGTCTTGACAGTCTCGAATCTTTGTGTAACCATCTAGCCAGCAGGCCACCAGAGATACCCAGAGAGAAAGAGCATATGCTACTGAACTCTTTTGAGCGGATCAAATGCATTGAGGCTGACCTGGAGAGGACCAAAAGAGTAAGTTCTTGTACTGTAGTACTTTTTGGACAAATGCACCGTACTACATAGATAAATAGATTATGATAATGTTATTTATGCTTTTCGTAATACCTTGTCTTAGAAACAGACTTATTCATTTTTCTCAACTCTCTTCATTTCAGCCTTTTATTACCAGCTCTTTTAACTTCACATGGATGATAACATCATAGTCCTTTTGCTTTCTACTGAAAAGACTCTTGATGTGTGCATTCAGTTCTAAAACCTCATGTATTACATGTCAGGTGCTGCACGCAACGGTGGTGAAGCAGAAAGCGCTTGTGGAGACTCTGGAAGCTGTACAGGAGTCATCAAGAGCTAGGGTACGTTGATTGCAACCTTTGCTGATTGAATCAACTGAAGTTCATGATCTCTGAACTATTGCGGATGGAGGAACATTGATAATCTGAACTGGACTAACACCTAGCTGCTCTGCTTGTGCAGAAGAGATTGTTTTGTTCATAGAATATACCGCACCAAGTCAAGAACCATGTCGACATTTAACCGCGACGCATGAAGCTCTGCCAGTGCCATTTTTGACCTTCCCCAACTTCATCCCGGGCCAGGGAAAAAACCTGAAAGAGAAGAGAAGATAGCATTTGGTGATATAGCCTGCTAAGCTGCTTCCTTTCAGCATCTCACCATCTTTTTTTTTTGTAGTTGTCTGTACTAGTAAAGCCCTTCTCTTGTGCCTGGTGAATGTTGTGCCGTGCTTAGTGCAGCTATGTTTTTTCTTTTTTGGCCAGCAAGTGATCTCGTCACGGTCTTTTGCATTCAGGGGGCAAGAAGAAAAGATGGCCGAACTGCATGTTGATGAGTCTGAAAGTTTTTTTACAGCTGACCTCCATTTAGTTGACAAAAGGGCACAATTGGTGATAGCTTACTGGTGAAAATGTCCCATGTAAATGCTGCTTTTAGTACTAGTTTATTACAGTGCTACCTCCTATGAATGATTATCGGATAATACAGTTCTAGTTAGATTATAATCACAATGGGATAGTAGTACAATTGTGTGCTTCGTCTCTCTCTCTGTTTTTTTTAGTTCTGTTTTGGGGTTAGTTTGGTTTGCACGTGAAGACGTGGTGAATCTGGCACGGTGTTGTGTTGTGTTGTTGAGCACGATGCGATCGCTGTCCACGCACGCCGCGCTGCTCCCACCGACGGCATGCAGCGCGAGAGGAGGGCCAGTTGCTGCGTGGCGTCGGCGTCACGGGCTCACCGGCTTCCGCTCCAGGGACAGCGCGTGATTTGTAGGGTGCTCATCTGTAGGACTATCACTAGCGTCGGTCGGCTGGCGCTGTTTTTTTTCTTTTTAAAAGAAAAATACACAATACGTCATTTGTGGGTTTATGGGTTCAACGTTTAATTATCTGTCTTATTTGAAATTCTTTTATGGTTAATATTTTTGTTGTTAGTAGATGATAAAATATGAATAGTATTTTATGCGTGACTTATTTCTTTAATTTTTTTATATAAGACGGATGATTAAACGTTGTAGAAAGAACCGACAGATAAACTTATTTTGGGACGGAGATAGTGTACTACAAACATAGATACACCACAGATATCTCGGTGTTAACGAATATGTTATGTCGTCCATCACTAGAAGAATCTCCATTCTTTTTTGATTATTTTGATTAAAGATGCATATTTTATCGCATGTCCGTTAGCATGTTTTTCATACTGTTAAATGTTACATTTCAGGATGAAAACTTTTAAAATATAAGTTGCTCTAAAATATCAAATAAATTTATTTTTTATGTTTATAATAATTAAAACTTAACTAATCATATACTAATAGCTTTTTCGTTTTACGTGACCAACTTAATCTTCAACCTCAGCAAGTTCGAACAGGGCCTAATTAGGCGTAAATGTGAGGTATATCGCCTAAAAATAATTAGTTGTATTATTTAACCTAGGTGGGTATGGTTTCATAAAAAAAAAATCAAACCTGTTGAGCTAGGATGGCGATGCAGGATTGTGATTTGTGAGATGGGCTGTTTCTCCGCTTGAAAAGGATTTAGCCGAGAAATTTGTCCGTTGCCGCCATTGCCACCACAAATTTCACCATCTGCTACTGCCAGTAAGTCCTGTTCTAACCTTGGGCCGGGACGGGCCTGGAAAATCCAGAGAAAAAAAAATAAATAAGTTCACTTTGGGTCCTTCTATTTCTTGTCCAGTCCGATTTTCGTCCCTTGACCGCAAAACCGGGTACAACCCATCCCCCAACTTATGAAAATCGGGCAAATGAGGTCCCTCAGCGGTTTTGGCTGATGTGGCGCCTACGTGGCTTGTTTGACTAGGTCTCTGTCCGACGTGGTATTGACGTGGCGCTTATGTGGCAATTCAACTCGAAAAATAAATAAACCTCGTGGGACCCACATGTCAGTTTCACACAGAAATTATAAAAAAGGTGGGGCCCACGTGGGCCCCACATGTCATTCTCTCCCCTTTTCCTCCACCGCCCTTCGCCGCCCGCGCCCGCCGGCGGTTACCGACGACGCGACTCCATCCGCCGCCGCAGCCCAGCGACCGGCGGCGTCGCCTGCCTCCTGACCCGCCACGGCCACAAGTTAGTGCAAGCGCACCCGCCGTCCCGCCGCTCCCGCCGGTAAGGAGGTTCCCCTGTTTCCATGCTGTATCGAAGAGAACCAGCAATGCTTCCTCCCTGCTCCCCGTGTCGGCCATGGCGACGGCCTCCTCTTCTTCCCTCTCGCTGCCTCCTCTCTCCTGTCCTTATTCTTCACGATCTCCGTGTCCTTCATGGCATTCGTGATCTCTGCAACTGGCGTCTCCACCCGCTGTACATCCTCCACGTGGACCACGCCGCATTCTTGGCCACCTGATATGTCGGCGCGTTTCGCTGGAGTCGTTGCCTCTCCTTTGCCATCAACGGGAGCCTTGTCGCCATGCACGGTGTTGCCACCGCCACGCCGCCGTCGTCCGCCGTGACGACCTCCAAGTTCTCGAGTTCCTTCCGAGCCCATAGGAGTAGCTCATACGCATATACGCCGAGTACAGACGGCCGCATGCATATGCGTCTTCGTACGAGCATATATATGCATGCATGGAGACGACCAGCTAGCTTCTTGTTGGTTTGCCGCCAACAACATGCAGACGTATATATTAGCCAAGCATGTGTATATGGCTGAGCACACTCACATGTATATATGCCATTACGTGCATGACTCATGCATGAGTCATATTTAATTCATTAGCTTGCTTAGCACATTAGCGTTGTTAGCTAGCTAATTTACCTGCTTCCTGCAACCAGCCACTAACACACAATCTGCGAGCGTGGCGGAGGAGCGGCGGCGGGCGAGCGCAGTAGTGGGCAAAGCAGCGGAGGGCGAGCGCGGCGGCAGGCAGAGCAGCGGAGGGCGAGCTAGGCGAAGCGGAAGACAGTGGATGGGATGTGGAGCTCCCCCGTGCTCGGCCGCCACCACTGCCGTGCCCCAGCGGGTGCCCCACAGCGCTGGCGACGAAGGCCTCGAGGCCGTCGATCACGCCGTGAGCTTGGCGGGCAGGGACACGACGAGGAGGACGAGGTCGTCGGCCCTGCCGAGGACGCGCTCGGTGGCCGGGAAGAGCACTGCGGCGATGTCCTGGACGACGAGGAGCTGCCTGTCCGTGAAGACCAGCGTGGGGCCCACCAGATGTCCCTAAAGACGGTGTGAAACTGACAAATAGAGGGACCCAAAGTGAACTTATTCCAAAAAAAGGGAATGCAGGCGGCTAATACCTGGCCTGAACATCCGGTTTTGAGGTTTTCCTAGGCAAGTCTGGGCTTTCTGGGCTTTTTTGGAATAAGTTCACTGGAGGTCCCTCATGTTTAGCCGAGTTTGAATTGCATCCTTGAATATAATACTAGTATAACATCTTTGTAATACCGGTGTACACGACATCTTTATGCAATATTATTCTCGGTTTTCGGTTTTAGCTGGTGTCTATGTGGCACTTTAATCAGAAAAATAAATAAAAATTACGACGGACCCCACGTGTTAGTGAAACATGCCTCCTTAGGCCATCTACAATCGGTGTCTTCAGCTCGTCCCCTCACCCTACGCCATCCGCTTTTCCGTCCGAGCCGCCTCCCCACGATGCGATGCGACCCCTGGCTGAGGGACGCGCCTCTCGCCGCTTTTTGGCGAAGTGATGCATGTGTGAATGATATGTGGGACCAGACATTAATAGTGTAGTATATGTTTATAGGTAACTATTTTTTGAATTGGATATTAAATTAACTATAAATAATTTAAAGCCAATAGTTGGTTATACTATCAAACTTGTTCTTAGGTTGTGTCGGTACCTAGTTTTTCTTACTCTATTTCTCTCGTTTCTCGTGCGCATATTTCTCAAATCGTTAAATGTACATTTTTTGTGAAATTTTTCTAGAGAAAAGTTGTTTAAAAAAAATCATATTAATCTATTTTTAAAGTTTTTTTTCTAATACTACTTAATTAATAATGCTCAAATCTATTACTTCGTTTTTCGTGCGTGAAAGATTACTTCCCAAACCCATTTGCTGAACACGACTCTAACACAGGCCATCCTTGGTTTCTAACTCTCGATCGAGCTTACACGCCAGCACAAGGCTTAACTACTAAGTAAAAGGGTGTCTCGATCTCCATCCGTTTAATTTACGGAGACCAAGCTAGCAGGAACTTTTAACATTCCATTTACTACTACTAATTAACATTCTTGTCTCGGCGTCCATTTTCTTTGGAACCTTCTAATTAACGATCCAGCGCGTCCAGAAAAACACCTCCTGTCGCTGTCGGGCCTAAAAAATCAAAACGCGCCAAGGAAAAAAATTCACTCACTTTTTTCTGATCAGATCGTAACTTCCAATCGATCGTAACGTTTTTCCGTACGCGCTCCAAAACTGGAACTAATCAAGCTGCAAGTTGAGTACTGCTACTTGCACAAATAGACGACGCCATCGGCAACCAGTGTCGCACACTAATCTTCCGTGCACCAAAACGAAACGAGTCATAACATATCACTAATAAAATATATTAGCTAAAAATTTAAAATATATTATATGATTTTCTCAAACAACTTTCTCACACACACACACACACACACACACACACACACACACACACACACATATATATATATATATATATATATATATATATATATTAAACGATGTACTGTTTAGTAGTTTGGAAAACGTGCACTATCCAATAAGAGAATAGAAGTCAGAAAGGGAACAGAAAAAAGAAACATAAGAGCCTTCACAGTGCAATGCGGCATTCGGCTCAAGCACTCCACGCCGGAGATTTGGCGCTATGTTCGTGTGTGGCGTACCAACCTGAAGACCGTGCGTCCAAACTGGGTCACACATTTGGATGTCTAGTGTGGGAGGAAGAACCGCTGCTGAGTTGTGGAGGTTGTGTCTTCGCTACATCGTTCCTCTGCGCACTATGAAACTTGTGTCCAACTCTGGTCTTAGCAGGTGAGGTCCAACCAGGGTTTCACTTATCGCACGATAATCACGTGATTATCGTGGTTATCGCGCTTATCGTGGGGGTACGGTAGGAGAAATCGACGATATGGTTTGGATGAATTTTGACCAAATTCAAAATTCTAGAAAAAATAAAAAAAATTGAAAAAAAAATCATGGATATGGTTCTTGATTTGTAATTGTCAATGGTGAAGAATTTTTTTGAAATAGAGTAAGCTATATTCAAATTTGAGGGCAAAACCGAGAATAGTTTACAAATTGGAAAAGGGAAGAGAATATTGGGCCTTAAGTGTCCTACATATTCTTCCAATTATTCTCAATTTCTAGTTTTTTACACATATTCAACCGTATTTTTTATTTTTCCCCTATTTATTTTGTATTTACATAATTTCAGCTACACAGCCCGCGATAACCATGCGAATACCGCGGTTATCACGGTAAACCATGCGATTATCGTGGTGAAACCGCGAAACCACCGAGTTTTGAATTCGAATTTTTGGATGTGATTTTTGTGCGATTTTAGACGATTATCACGCGATTATCGTGGTTATCGCGCTACTGCGGGGGTGGCGGTAATCTCGGCCCAAACGATAAGGTAAACCCTGGGTCCAACAAATGTGTTCTCGCGCTGCTACTTCCTTAAGGTTGCATTCGAAATAGGTTCAGTTGGGCTGATATATATATATATATAAAAGAGACATGTAGAAATTAGTTAAATAATAGCAATTATAAATTAAAAAAAGTGAACTTTTTAAATATTTTTGAAAAACTTCTATATAAGGGCTTCTTCGGAATATAGGAATTTTATAGGTTCAATTCCTTCAAATTTCAGTGAAAATCCTTCAAACTGAATAGGCCCTAAAAACTTTTATATCAAATACCCTATTTAACAGTTTAGAATACATACCGAAAATGAGGAAGTAGTGATTCAAACTCAACCTAAAACTGGCACCAACATTTCGGTTTTGCCTACTTTTAGTTCACTAAAACTTTTGCCGCACAGTGCAGCGTGCTACACAAAAACTCGATAAATAATGATTAGATTTGTCACGGTCAGTAGTGTGTATCTGTGTGATAACCAGAGAAAAACGTGGTGATGCAGAGTACCACAATTTTTCAACAACGCATACACGCCCCTAAGACAAAGTCACTATCTGTCACTAATTTCCTCATCTAGTCAAGAAAAGATCAGTTAATACAGTTGAGCAGGCAGAAACCTCTTCTGCCTTAATTGGTGTCTTCTCTGCTAAGCTTGCTAGCTTCGATCCTCTTTCTTCTTAATTAATATTCCATATCTAAAATATGAGACGCACTACCAAGAAATATTTTGTTATCTTCTCGTTTCGATCACCTCAATAAATATGATCCATATAACCAATAAAATTAGAGATCACGGTGGAGTATTAAGAGAAAAAACAGTTCATAGGAGAGAGTGACTAATAACATAAGAAATAATTATGTATTATATTTTAAAATGGAGGGAGTAGCACTCATGTGACTGGATAAATCTGTGGCCAGCTAACAATTGCATGTCTGTTCTCCGGCAGTAATTGCATGACTTGTCTAGGCATACCTTTTTCTTTTGAACGACTTGTACAAGACAGTGCCCAGTTCATATTGATAGAGCAGAAATAATTACAAAATTAAAATCCTAAAAGTCCGTAACCAGGAAAAGGAAAAAAGTATACCACCCCCACACACCGACAACGCCAAACACAAACTAGGAGAAGGCTAGCACCGGACCTGCCACCGCTAGGCCAACAAAGGAACTACAACTAGGATTGCTCGAAACCCAACCCTTACGACCGACACAAAACTATGCTCTATCCATATCTTAGGGATTTAGGGAGAGAGAGGGTGAGGGAGAAAAATGAAACCGTTTTCCGCCTAGAACCTCCGACGTGGCCAACTTGTATAAACTAGGGTGCCGATACAAGAGGATGTGACTCTAGAGCGAGCTTGCACCAGATATTTGGGTGGTTCCGGCAACGGCGCTGCCTAGACAGTGTCTCCAGAGAAGAAGCGACTAAAGCACCACCGCATGCCTACTTTGTAGCTAATGACTGCGGAACATCTCTCGTCTTCTAGACATTTTTGGTTTGGTACCAAGTTTTGCTATAGCAATTGTTTGGCAACACTCTAGCCATCCATATTAAAGCTATTCTTTTTACAAAATAAATTTATACAGCTCTAAAGAAAATTAGTAGTGTCAAAACAAATCATAAATTCGTAGATGAATTCTCGATGGAGTACAAAATGCATGAATAGTGTTTATTTCATAAGAAGTTCGATTACCTATGGTTTTCTATACGTATTCTCCAAACTGATGAGTAGCCTCAATATGCCTGAGTATAGAAAAATTGAGATTACCTATGCCTGATTAGCTAGTGTTGGATTTAGCTAGTTAGTTGGAAAAAAAACGAATCATTAATATATAATTAATTAAGTACTAATTGAAGTATTATATAATAGAAGTTTTTTTATTGAAACACATTATTTATAGTTTAAAAAATATACTTCACGGTAAATAAGGAATTAACACAGCCCAACACCACTTAAGAGCTGTCCATAGGATTCAATGGGGGAAAAATCCATTGGAATCCAGTGCCAAACCTCCAAAATTTACTGATTTCATAGGAAAAAACATCAACTCCATCTTTGTTCAGCTTATGGAAGAAAAAAAAATCCTATGTTCTAATATTTTGTTTTGCACATTTATTCATATGATATTTATATGTTTTTCTTATTCCAGCGAGTAAGAAATCTTGTGAACCAAGAGCTTCTCAAAGCGTGTTGCAACCTCAACTAATTAAAACGTGCTGTTAGAAAACGATAGACAAATAAACGATAAAAAACAATAGATCAATCATAAAAGACACGAGATTTAACGTGAAAAACCCTCCCAAAGCAGGAGAGAAAAAACCACGGGCGCCAGCCACCAAAATATCTTCACTATATCTGGTGTGAGGTTATAACGCCGCACGGCGGCTTACAAGAGATATATATATGGTGAAACCCTAAAAGGGATGACGATCCGTATCGCGGAGGCTCTGCCCCCGCACCCCCGGGCGTCCCTAGGTGCATAGCCCAATGGGCTAGCTTCAACCTACGCTCCACTACGGTAGAAGCTGGCCTTTATTAAGTGTAACTGAATTTAGATCACAACTCAACGTATGCCCTGGCTAGCTTCTTCATCACTTCAGGCTTCTGGAAACGTCACATGCTTTCTTCCCACCAGAGAAAATTAAGCAGTGATAGCTGCAGGATATTACTCCGTAACGTACTGGCCAGTAGAAAAGTCTCCATAGTGCCTGAATTTTCAGTGCACATTTGTTAGCATCTGCATCTCTCAGCAAATTAAAGTCTATCTGTGTGAGAGAGATGAAACTGCCCATGCTTTTCTTTCCATCCAATTAATCATTTGAACCACTTGGCATAAACTATGCTCATAACAAAGAGATTAACACATGAGCAAATCCCAGGCAATAGAAAAGTAGAATTCTCTAACACAAGAAAAGAAAAAAGATATCAATATATAAAATGAAACTTGCTGAAGTTTTGCATCCTTTTCCATAAAATACAGAGGGAAAGAGACAAATGACATGGTCAACATAGATCCAAAGAGAAAAAAACACCAGGCAATCTTATCATATTGATCACACTTTTGCTGATGAAACATCAGATGACACTATGACAGCAACCTCTCTCCAAAATAAATTCGTATAAACTGAAACCGATGGAGAAATGGTCCTTGATTATTACAGGTATCCACAAGAGCAACAAGGAAAGATTGTTTTTTTAAAAAAACAAGAACAAGGAGGTAGATATATAGTAGAAGAAAGTAAAACAGGATACGGCGAAATTCAGGGGGCTGTGGCCTCCATTTGGCGCAAAATCCTGCGGCCTGCCGCATAAATGCAAACCATGTAACGCAACCTGTCGGCTCATCGATCTGCTCGTATTGGATGGATAAGCATCCCCTTGCACCTGGGTCAAACACTCAAAACGACCCTCTTCTGGGAACCTTGTATTTTTCTCTATTTGTAAACAGATCCTCCGGTTTTTTATGCTTTATATAAAAGCAGGATGCTTTCTCTTTTTCTTTTTTAAAAAATAAACTAAAAAAGACCACCACTAGCATCTTAAAAGGCTGGCCTCATTTGGATGAATTTTAAAGCATCTTCCGTTTTATTCTGATTCCGTATATCCGGAAATGGAAGGGAAACGGTAGAGGTTTTTCTCTTAACCGTTTTAATGGTGTACCGTTTTTATTCATTTTTTTAAAAAGAAAATAGTATAGTACCCACAATCTATGGGAGTAAAGAAAACCATAACTCTTATGTGCTGTTACATTAGTATTTTAGTATTGATGCTATAATACCATCATGAAGTATTTAAATTAGTTATTTACTTTTTTTTGAATGTTCACTAATAGTTACTTTGATGTAAAATCATAATGTAAACATGAATGTAATTTGCTTGCCCTATGCTATGTTGTTTCCAAAGTCTTATTTTCATTTTCTTTTGATGTTTAGGTATTGCTACTATCGTTATCGTTTGCAGCTTTATCATTTCAGTTCTGTTTTCAAGAAAAATAATAATAATTAATATGATTTGAGCATTTTCCTAACAGTTTCATCCCATTCATGTTCATGTTTTTGTTTTCTTTTCCTAACTGAGAGCCCTCCACTCGGAGCAACTTATAGTTCATAGAAAATGTTTATCTAACATGTGACTAATATATGTTTTAGACACTGAGAAAAAATCAACATTCAGTTAAAACAATGCTAGAAAAGCCCTACTAGTATTAAGGCTGAGTTCTAAACTTTAAATCTAAACTATACTTACTTTTTTTTATTAGCATGTTTTTTAAACTACCAAATGGTTCGTTATGTAAAAACAAAATTTATATGTATTGAAGTTTGTTTTACATGTCACTCCAATATGGAGTTTCCCCAAAGCTCATCATGGAAAGTACTCCTACAATACTTACAAGGGCTAATATGAAATTTTCACTATCCGTACTCCTCTTGAGGTTTTCTTCTTGCTTCTAGAGCCACCTGTTAAAGAGGCGGCCTTGCTTGCTTCCTTTCCAGATTCCTCCATAGCTCACAGAAACCTCACAACCCTAGTTCGGCGAGAGCCGGAAGCTATCAAGCTAAGCGAGATACGAAGGAAAGCGGTTCTTGCAGCAGAAATTTCAAGGCTTTGCCGCCAAATTTGGCCCAAGTTTGGCTCAAAATCCACCATTGCAGGCCCCTGCCCCTCGGGAGGCTAAAGCGAGACGAAGGTAAGCGGTTCTTGCGGGAGAAATTTCGAAGCTTTGCCGACAAATTTGGTTGTGAGTTTGGCTCGGAAATCCGCCATTTGCGGTGCAGGCCATGTCGCGGCGGTCTGGGTATCGCGCGGCGGAGCAGGAAGACCGCCAGGTTGATCTGATGGGCGACTCCGACTTCGACGACGACGAGTACGGACAACCTGTAAGCTCTGCACGAGTTGCTTGCGCCATCTGACAGATTATCTAAAAAAAGTGCTGTTCTTTTCCTTTTCATTTTTTCACAAAAGAATAGAGAAAATGCTAGTACAAGTCGCAGTTGCTCCTAACTGCTTTTGTGAGTTGTGACATGCGGATATCATGATATTAGAGTAGGTATGTGCAGACTTCAGCGCAGGAATGGATCTTTGTCTAATTCAATGCAGGTTTTGCTTTATTAGTTTGCTTCTGGCTCTACCAGCAGCTAGTGTTGTTTTTAGATGATTTGGGCATGCATCTTCTGAATTATAGTTGTTTTGTTCAGTCTGATAAAAAGGGTAATTTTGTTGTTTATAGATAGAGTCCAAAGAAGATACGTCGGCGGTGGATGTGAAGAAAGGGAAGGACATACAAGGAATTCCATGGGATAATTTGAGCTTCTCAAGGGACAGGTATAGGAAGACTAGGATGGTACAGTACGCGAACTTTGAGAATGTACCCAACTCCGGGAAAAATTCAGAGAAGGCATGGCATTGTTACATGTTCAGATAAACTGTTGAGGGGTCTCGCATTGTATATTTGTATCTAGCATGGAAGTTTTGATGTGTTGATCTTGATGCAGGTATGCACACCTGTAGATAAAGGGGCACTCTACTATGAGTTTCAGTACAACACAAGATCGGTGAAACCGACAATTCTTCATTTCCAGGTGAGAGCTGTGCCTTCTGGAGTCGTAATTTTGAGTTCTTAAACATTAGAAACTACTATGTATTAGGCGACATATCCAATACATTCCAAGGTCAAAAGATCTGCTACATATGCTAAATAGATAGTGCATGTGTTCTTTCTTTTGCAGGCTTGTCAGTCTGTACTGTAGAAATAAATTAACCGCAGAACATTTTTCTTGATGTGTGATGGAAAATAGTCAATATCCTGTTATGATAGTACTCCGTTTGGAATACATGGGAATATCACAATGAATACTAGTAGGTCTATACATGTGTTTTTTTAAGGGAAAATTGTAACCATGCCATTATAATTTTGCATTGAAAAATTATAATGGCATGGTTCCAAATTACCCTTTTTTTAAAGGTACACGTGGTTCTCGTATATGCACTTGAATGAATTATAGCTATGGTATTGGTACCTAACACAACTGCAAGCAGTTTTTCTATTAATTCCTTTTGGAAATTAATGTAGATTTGTCTTCCCCTACAAGGCTACAAGGGGATAATATGTTCACTTTCCACAGAAAAAGTAGTTCTGTAGACCTGCATGTTTGCCTTCATGAACTATAGTTGTACCAAATAATCAGATATTCTAATATAAATTTCTTGCTCAATCGACTACATTAATGCCATTCCGTTGCTATTTTGCAGTTGAGAAATTTAGTATGGGCAACTACTAGACATGATGTGTATCTTCTATCACAACGTTCTGTGCTTCATTGGTCACCATTCGCCAGTGAGAAGCACAAAGTCATTGATCTTCAAGGACATATCACGCCATCTGAGGTCCCTATTTCTCTTTCAAATGTTTATTTGAACTTGCTAGCCTCATGAATAGCCACTTCTTTGATATTTGTATTGTAACTTTGTAAGCATACATATTCAAATTCCATATATTTGACTTCAGAAGCACCAGGGGAATGTCTCCGAGGGGTTTTACCAGGCTCAAGTTAGTACACTAGCAGTGAGAGGTAATTTGCTTGTTGCCGGTGGATTTCGTGGAGAACTAATTTGCAAGGTAATTTTCTTTCATAACCTCTTGTTCAATCTCTGACATCTATATGGAGTTACAATGTAGCCATGGTGTAATGTGTAAATTTTGTGTGGGGATGTAGTTTTTGGATCGTGAAGGAATAAGCTATTGTTGCAAGTCAACACACGATGACAATGGCATCACTAATTCTCTGGAGATATTTGAGAAACCCAGGTACTATAACATCATTTTAAAAACTACTACTTTGTTTAAAATGAAGTGAGAATGTATGAATCATAACTTCAAAAAATGAATTATGCAGTGGTTCGGTGCACTTCCTGGCTTCAAACAATGATTGTGGAGTTCGAGACTTTGACATGGAAAAATTTCAAATTTGCAATAATTTCCGTTTTCCTTGGGCTGTTAATGTAAGCCTTTACTTCATTCATCAAACTGTTTATATCTATATCTTGTTTTATTTATTGGATACTCCCAAGTCCTAATCTATTCGCCACATTCAAGTCACTACTGAATGCTTTGCTAAAGATTCTTGCATTCCATGAGGAAAGAAAGCCTAATGTTTTATTGATTTAATCTTGCCCCTTGTTTTATACCATGCAGCACACATCATTGAGCCCGGATGGTAAACTTGTTGCTATTGTTGGGGACAACCCTGAAGGACTTATAGTCGATACTAATTCAGGAAAAGTAAGCAGAAAGCAACGCTCAGCGATTAACTTCCAAATACTGACCTCACATTTCAGAAAAAGAAAAGCTCATGGCTGTTTGTTTCTCGCAGACAGTTCATGAACTCCGCGGTCATCTGGACTACTCTTTCGCGTCAGCGTGGAACCCAGATGGCCGGACATTCGCGACTGGTAACCAAGACAAGACATGCAGGATCTGGGATATCCGAAACCTTTCCAAGTCCGTTGCTGTTCTGGGTGGCAATATGGGAGCCATACGGTCGATTCGCTACACATCCGATGGGCGATTCTTGGCAATGGCGGAACCAGCAGATTTCGTTCATATATTCGACGTCGGAAGCGGGTACCGAAGGAAGCAGGTGGTGGATTTCTTTGGTGAGATTTCTGGCATTTCGTTCAGTCCCGACACCGAGGCTCTGTTCATCGGTGTTCATGATCGGACCTATAGCAGCCTCCTCCAGTACAACCGGCTACGGTTCTACTCATACCTTGATTCTGCTATCTGAATTTGCTACTTGCAATCACTGGCAGAGTAATGTGAGTTCTGAATCACAAAAAATTGTAGAAGCTAGTAAAGTAGTAGAGAAGATGTAGATATGTCCATATCTGTAGCTGTTACTGTAAAGGAACCTGAAATGCATCTGCAAATGGCCTGTTGCTTTTGCTGGACAAAACTGTATCCATCAGACTTCAGGGTGAGCAATCATCCTACGGAAGAGAAGATGTTATCTGGTACGGCGCTGTCTACTTCAGCAAAGGCTGAAAAATATCTTGACCTAGTTTCTGCTGCCGCCGGTGGCCGGCCGGACCGCCGTGTTGGACGACGTTGGCGGCGGCGGCGACCGTGTTGGGTCGAAATGGGCCCCCACAGAGCATATGGGCTGGACCGCCTCGTTGGGTTTACTACAATTGAGAAAGAATTGGAAAAAGTATACACAAGGTCCCTCAACTTGTCATCGCGATAAAAAACATCCTCGAACCGCAAAACCAGATATGCGGGTCTTCGAGGACTTTTGGTAGTTTTGACCCCGGTTTTGGTCTATGTGACGGCTGAATTAGCGTGAGCCCCACATGTCAGCGTGGCCACGTCAGCCTCCTCTCTCTTCTTCCTCTCCCTTCTCTCTCTCACTTCTCTCCTCTCGGGCAAGCCGGGGCGGGTCGGGAGGAGGTCGCTGGGGCGGCCGGCGACGCGGCGGCGTGAGCACGAGGGCGGTCGGTGAGGAGAGGCGCGTGGTGGCCGTCGGGCGCGTCCCATCTCGACGGCTAGCCTATGGTGGCAGCGTGTGGGGGATGTGGCACCCGGGTACCTCATGGTAGAAGCCAAAGCTATGCTTCGGGGGTGGGCCAAGGGCCCATAACAGATATAGTAAGTGTCGCATAGTTGGCAAGAGAGGAAAGCATACTATTGTATCCCAAATCATGTAACAAAAGGCGAGTATCCAGATTATTGGGATACGGGGCCTTCATTGGCACCGGTGGGCCTATGCTGGTATAAAGGACGCCGGTGCCATCTCTTAATTCTTCTTGGGTTTTTTATCATTTTGACCAGAGACAGAGAAAAACACACACTGGACGTTAGGGTATTACCTCATATCGAGAGCTTGAACCAGGATAAACACCTGCGTCACCATCTCTCCTTGATCTTGCGCACCCGTGAAATATATTGCCGATCATAGAAATCGACACAGCGGCAGGGGCTCACCTCGACGGCAGACACAAGGGGATCCACAGCCATGGATGACGGCAGCGGCTCCCCATCGTCCTCGCTCTCCCCCCCCCCCCCCCCAACGCTCTCGCCGCTGACGCCCTCCCCTTCTCCCGCGTCGCCGGCCGACATACCTCCTCTCTTGCCGCAGGCCGCCCGTCCTCCGCCTCACATGTGCTGGAGAAGCTGCGCCCATGCCCACGCCCATGCCGAGGATGCCCGCTGCATCGCATCATGTCCCGGTCCCCTATCCTCCACGAATCCCCCGCCATTGCCATGAAGTGCGCCGCATCGGCAATGAATCTGACCAGCGAATCCCCAGCAGCGGCGGCGACCAGTTGAAGAGGTGCCCCTTTGGTCGCCCTACACTGTCGTCTCTGTCCCTGCGAGCCGCCTACCTTCTCTAGTGTCGCTGCCATCACCACCGTCGCGTCGGTGAGACGCTGGCGTGGACGACGGGGAGCACGATGGCGGCAGCGGCCCTATCCTTGCCCGGAGCCGCCGCCGCCGATGAGGCTGAGCGGTGCGGAGTTGTCGGTGCCTCCACTCCTCATCCGCAGCTGCGCTCGCCTGCCGTTGCCGCTGCCTCTCCACCACCGCGGTCACGCTGCCGCCGCCCTCCCCTTCTCTTGTGCTGCATCGCCGGCCGTCAGAGAGAAGAGTGTGTGAGAGAGAGAAACACGAGGTAAGGAGAGGAGGGAAAAGAAATACATGTGGGACCCACGCTGACTTAGCCGCCACGTAGACTAAAATCGGGGTCAAAACCACCGAAGGACCTCGGGTGACCGGTTTTGTATAGTTAAAGGGCACCGCATATCTGGTTTTGCGGTTCGAGCACGTTTTTTATCCCGATGACAAGTTGAGGGACTTTCGGTGTACTTTTTCCGAAGGAATTTGCATCCTGGGTTGTTCTGGGCCCATCTGTACGGCCTTCGTTGGGAGCTTTCCTTACTCCTACCACGACGAGTAAACTGAGCCTCATTTACGGGAAGGCCCATAATGAGCCGGGCTTCACTGCGAGGTCACCCGCGATCTGCGTGGTCGAAGGACTGCAGGAGTCGTTCGATCGAGCATCCACGGCCCAGATTAAGATGGATGAGGAATTTCTTGCGTAGTTAAATATCTGATGAAATGCATCTCATTTATTATATTCAGGAAATTATTAAAATATATACCAAAAGAATTTCCAAAATGATAACTGGATAACCCAGGACTGCTGAGCCAGAGATTTCTTTTCCGAAAACATAGTTACAAAGAAAATTTACAAGCTTCATGTCCTAAAATACTACTCCGTACAAGGGAAAATTTATGAAAGCAAGTTCTATTTCCTGATGCATATGTATCGTGTATCGGTGATTCCATGGCTCTAAGCTCAAGTAGGTACATACTCAGTAGGAGAGGGCAAGAGCCGTGCAAGAAAGGTTCCTACAGCAGTAAACAGCAGAACAAACTGGATGAAACAAAAGAGTGAAACTCTGCTTGCTCTAGACTGCAACCGCAGGACTTCTGAACTCCCAGACAGAACTCTGCATTCAGCTCTTAGCTTCTCCGCCATCTCTTCTAACATCGCCGCTCGGTTCTTGGTATGCTGTAGTTTAAGTTCAAGCTGCTTGTAATCCCCCGACAGAGATTTCTGCGCGTTATAGAGAGCTATTTGATCGTCAACTAGAGGTGCCCAGGTTTGAGCAGCTCTTGTCAGGATGATGCTCTTAATCTCGGCTTCTGTCTTCTCCAGGAAGAGCCGACCAAGGTAAGATGCTTCTTCTGGTCTGGACTCAGGATCCTTTACATTTTGACTTGTTCCTTCAAGAGGTTCCGCGAGATCGACTAAACCACTCCAATCATCGTCGTTTCCATCAAAATTATCATTTGACTCTTTACTGATCACTGCAAACATTTTAATCTCTGCAGTAAGCATGGAGCAAAGGTTATCATAAAGCAATTTTGCATGGATGAAAGTTCGAACCAAGGCATCAAAAGGTACAGCATGTTATCACCACAATACCGGTATGAGACCTCAGATTCAATGAACCAAGGAAACTTACAGGAGAAGTTTTGATTGGTTGATCAAGCCACTTCTATATACTGTAGAACACAAAGCGCTTTACCCATTTATTTGGTACTATGCCTAAATGGCCCAGTTATTAGAATACTCAACAAGGTAATATTATTACAACCGTCAAATTGAGATGTCAACAACTTCAGCAATTAAGTTCATAATGTTTTATAGGTTCCCTGAGTTGAATCACGGAATGAACTAGAATTATCACTTAAGAAATTGATTAATCAGATTATAGTTGCTTGACTTAACTACCACTCCACCAACATCATTTATCCGAATACTTTTTATCATGACTGAACACCATAAGGCAGCTATAACTTATTTGTTTCCACAGAACTGGAGTAAACAACATCATGAAATAGTAACAAATAACTGAACCATGACATGGCATTGCTTCAACATCAGTAAAATAATAACAACAACTGAAACAGAATTTAACTTGGCAAGATCCATGAGGCTAAACGGGAACGAAATCAAGTATACCATTCTCAAGCGCTTCTTGCGTTCTCTGAAGCAATGAAATCGATTCCGCATACGGATCAGCACTCGACTTCATCCCTGATCCAAGGTCACCATTGTTCCCCACACTCCTCTGAGCAGCATCAGCATCCGAATCAACACTCCCCTGTGCCAATCTCCTCACCACCACGCTCCCATTCTCCACATTGCAGTAATCTCTGGCCATCAATGGCGTCTCCTCGCCGTGATCACAGTGATCGGCAAGAACCTTGTGGATTCCATTGCCGGCAATCGATTGCCGCCGGGAGTTCACGGCATTAGAGCAGCGCAGCGAGTACTGCGCCTCGGCGGCACGCGCGCGCGCGGCGCGGGAGGAGCGCCCTGCCCTGTCGGCGGCGAAGGGCGAGAGGTCGTTGTGGCGGCGCGGGGCGCTCGCTGCGGTGGAGGACCTGCTGCCGCTGCTCCGGTCCTCGCTGTGGTCGGAGTCGGCGCCGCCCGCGCCGACGGAGAATCCCGAGGAGGCGACGAGCAGCACGCCGAGGCTCGGATCCAGCTTCGCCGGCGGGACGAAGCGGGACTCGACGGAGGCGGTGGAGCTCTCCTCCTCCTCCTCCTCCAAGACCACCTCGTGCAGCTTCCCCCTCGGCGCGCCGCCGGGCAGGGGTATCCGCCGCTTGTGCAGCTGCGCCGAGCCGCTGCCGGCGGCGGCGGAGGCGGCTGATCCTTCCTTGCGCTGCTCCCGCGGGATACGGCGCCATCGACGGAGCCCACGGCCTTTGGTCTTTATCACGGGAGAGCTCCCCGGAGATGCACCGGCCTCCACCTCCGCCGCCGGCGACCCGACGGCGCCGTTCTCCATATCGGCCGCCGGAGGTGGCATCAAAGAATCGACGAAATCATCGTTGAACGGGGGTTGTCGGAATCGAGCAAGGTCGTAGTAACGAAAATTTTCAGTTCGTTTGGTCTCGTGGAAAGGAGATCGAGGGAGGATGACGAACTGGACGGCGACGACGACGAAAGGGAGAAAAGATACGAAAAAGAAGTGATTTTTTTCCCACCTTAACAGCAGCCCTTTTCCAGTTCTTTCTCTTCTTTTTTTTTTCCAACAAAAATGGCGCGTTCGCGTACGGTGTCTGCGTCAGTTACAGCCACGTCTCGGCGAAACGCATTTTAAACAAGCGAGATGGCGACGACGTGGCTAGCTCTGCTTAGCTCAGCAGCTTGATTGAACTGCTATGTTTTTTTTTTAAGAATTACACGGTATAACGCAAACACTCACCACGCACATACACTCACCCCATCAACGCACGCACGTAAATCCTACCCCTATGAGCATCTTCGAAGACTGGGCCGGAAAATCCTTGAGATTGATGCAGTTATGACGGGTATGCCGCCTACAACTGAAAGCTAGTTCCTGTCAAAATTAAAAATTTGATTGAAATAGGAACAATGTGATGAAAAAGTTAAAAGTTTATGTATGTAGAAAGTTTTGATGTGATGGAAAAGTTGGAAGTTTGAAGAAAAAGTTGAGAACTAAACCAGGCCTAAATAGTGAGGTGGAGAAAAAAAAAGACGAAAGAGATAAGGGCACGGTCAATGCAAGGGGTACCTGAAGTGCCATCTAGGATGGGGCAACACCCCCAGAAAGCTAATTTCCCATAGTGCAAATTGCTTTAGGTGGTAGTCTCACATTTTTATTTCAGCCCCTGGTGTTTTTTTAAGTCCTCATAATTTTTCAATATATATATAAGTTCAAAATTTACACTAAACATCCCAAAATCTAGAAATTGATATAAAATCTCTCCTCCCTCACTCTTCTCCCCCACCGACACCCCAAAATCCCCTTTCCCCATGCCGTCCTACTTCACCATCCGAGCTCCTCTTCTTTCTCATTTATTTCACCATCCATTCCCATCCTCGTCTAGTCTCCTCCACCCGATCCTCTCTTCGTCTGTCGATTTGATGTGAGGAATGCTACGGCGGTTGCGTTGAAAGCAAGGGGTACCGTCGGCAGTTCCCGCCGTCGCCGCTTCCCTCATCTCCCTCTCTATCCCAGCCTCCGTCGCCACTTTCTCCTACTCTCTCACCTCTTTATCCCGGCACGCAGGGTGGCCGACGGTGCGCTTGTCACAGGGGCCACGGACGGTGAGAGGGGCGCAGGGGCTGACGATGAGCAACGCACAGGGGGGCGGTGGCCAGATCTAGTCAGTCGTGTCGTCGCCGTCATGGGCGGATCTAGCCACGGCGCCCACGGAGGAGGTCGGCGACTCTTTCAATCTCTCTCTCTCTTTCTCTCCGTCATGGGCGGCGCCGGATTTGCTCATCGCCTCTCTTTCCCCCTCTCTTCCCCGCTGCCGCTCGTTGCCATCGTGGCCTTCGGCTCCTCTACCACCTCACCGCCTACAGCTCTGCCCAAGGGTGGAAAGGGGAATACAGATGTGGGGAGCGGTGTCCACAAGCTACGGCGTCTCCTCGCTTGGTTCCTCTGCCAAAAGTCACCAGGAGCGCGTCTCCTGGGAGAAAACGTGCGCCTCTCCAGGGGCACGGCACAAACGCGAAAGATAACGGTGTAATACTAAACGTTATTATTGCACGATAACCTTCCAATAGCACGAGCCAAGGTAACCGTTATCTTTCATGCCCCCTGGTAGAAAACACGCGCCTCTCCAGGAGCACGAGCCAAGGATACCCATTGCTCATGCTCTAATAACCTACCAATAGCTGGTGCAAACGTGCAAAGTTGGTGGAAGCTACCAGAACAACCTACCCAGGGCACTCTTCAAGTATAAAATGTAACGGATATATAATGTAAATTCAAAACTTTTGTTAATTTTTTTAATACAATTGTTTTTATATGGATGAGTATACGTATTTGCATTTGTACTATATTTTTTTACGCGTATTTGCATTTGTACTATGTTTCTTTAAAGAAAAGGTTACTAATTCTGACTAGGAACTGGTGATTTTCTGGTATGTCTAGGCCTGTTTGGAGAGTTTAAGATTTTGAGAATCAGCTGTTTGGTAGCCAACTTCTAAGTCTGGAAAAGTTAGTTTTCCAGTTTCTGGCTTCTAGTTTATTTTTTTGATTTTACAACCACATCTTCTCAGAATTTAAACTAAAAGCTGGATGGTTTGGGAGAGTTTTTGATTCTGGGAGAAGCTACAGAAACTCCTCCAAACGTACATAGGGTCTTGTTTGGGAGCTTAAGATTCTGAGTAGTAGCTGGCTGCTAGTTTATTTTTTTATTCTACAACTACAACTTCTTATAGCTGAATCAACTAGAAACTCCTCTAACCAAAGCCATATATAGTCTGTAGTCTGGTTCTACGGGCCCGGCTTCTGCTGTAGGCGGACAGGTCAGGGCAGATCGGCCGAATAGCGTAGACGGCGCCTCTCTCGGCCCTCGCGGCGGCCACCACAAATTGCCCCGAACGTCCGACGTAACCGGGCCACGTTCCGCGGGCCAGCGCTTGCGGTAAATTGCTTCTCCCGTCCCTCCCACGCGACGCCTCCCGCTCCCGTGCCGGCAACCGATGGGTGGTCGTGCCACACTGCCGCCTGCAACTGCAAGGTGGGGGACACTGCGCACAACCGCACCCGTCGTGGGCTCGTGATGGTCAGCCTGGTTGGGGGTGGGCGGGTGCGGTTGGAGTTGGAGAACCTGCTGCGATGCGAGATGCCACCATCCCGGCCAGCACGCTACCCAACGCCATAGGGCCGCCACCGCACGTCTCCTGTCTCCACCCTCTCCTATCCCATCATGCTGGCACATGCCGCTGTCGACGCCGACGCCCCTTCCCCATCCAGCCTGCCTTGCTTGCCATGTCCTACTACTACCACTAGTAGCAGTAAAAGCCTGCACAGTGCAGCTCTGCAGATCGAGGACAGTCTGTTCATTTTGGGCCCAGTAGTCATCTTGCAGATGAGATCAAAATCCGCAACCAACATGACACGGTGAGTAGAGTAGCAACCATGGAAAGAGATGTTGCACTTATCAACATGTAGTACAGTAACAACCATCATCAAATGTCCCTACAACTCCGTCTCTCTCATGCTCGAAGAATATAATAATCTCATTGATTGAAACACGTATAGGAAAATTTAAGCGGCAATTAAGGAAGTAATAGTATAGTTGTAGCAGTAGAAGAGTACAGCAACACACGTTAATTAATCACGCGAGAGCGATGGATGGATCGGCCGGTAAGGTCTCGGTCTCGACCTCACACGAGGCGGCGGCAGATGGTGATGCCGTCGGCGATGGCGAGCTGGCAGACGTCGATGCGCGGGTCGGCGGCGAGCCTGGAGTTGAGGTCCCTGATGGCGACGGAGAACCTCCGGTCCAGGTCCGACAGCGGCGTGTCCGGCGGCAGCGCCACCGTGCCGGCCCACAGCGTGTTGTCGTACACGATGTGCCCGCCGACGCGCACCAGCTGCAGCAGCTGCTCGTGGTACTTGACGTAGTTGGGCTTGTCCGCGTCCACGAACGCGAAGTCGAACGCCGCCTCGCGCCCCGCCGCCGCCTCCTCGGCGAGCAGCTCGTCCAGCTTCTCCAGCCCCTTCCCCTCGCGGAAGTCCACCTTGTGCGCCACCCCGGCCTTCTCCAAGAACGGCCGCCCGATCTCGTAGCTCTCCCTGTCCGGGTCGATCGCCACCACCTTCCCGTCCTCCGGCAGCGCCAGCGCCGTCGCCAGCAGCGAGTAGCCGGTGAAGACACCCACCTCGATTGTCCTCTTCGCTCCGGCCATCTTCAGCAGCATCCCCAGCAGCTGCGCCTCATCCGCCGACGACTGCATGAACCCCCTGCATGAATTAATGGGCTAATTAGTTAATCAACCCCAAGATCTAGCTTAATTAAGCAGATTAATTAGCAGAGATCGTGGTTTCTTACCACTGGTGCTTGTCCGTGATGAGGCGCAGATCGCGCATGCACTCCGGCTCCCGTGGCAGCACCGTCGTGTCCAGGACATACTGCAAGTTCACCGGCGACGAACACAGCAACCATCAGCAAATTAATTAAAACAGAGAGATCATCCTAAACACAATCCGGCGAGCTGATCAAGAATCATCAGCAGCACGTACCTTGTACAGGGCGTCGCTCTTGAGCAGCGTCTTGTTGGTGCTGTCGATGTCGCTGTGGGCGTTCTTGATCACCGGTGCGTCGCCATTGCCGGTCGTCATGGCGATGAGATCTTCCTCCGTTTGAGCTGTTGCTGCTTGAGCTGCTGGTGGTGGTGCGAGTCGATTGGTTGGGTCGTCAACCGAGAGCTCCGGCGAGCAATATTTATCGGCTCACGAGAGCAGGGTTGGTGGCGCCACCAAACACCCGGTCTTTTTTCCTCCCTTCCTTTTCAAAAAATAAATTAGCAATCGATCGATCGCACGGTGACCTGGTTGTTGAGCCACCAAACGTAGTGGCCATGATCAGTGCCCAAAAAAAGGGTATTTTATAAGCGTTAATTTGGTCTTCCCGTTGAGACGGTCCAGTAAACTGAACATTATTACAGTACTCAGTACTACATGTACTACTTCATGCATGATGCATGTGAAATTTTTGTTTTTTTTCCCCTCTCTTTCTTCTTCTTCCTACCACCACCACCTGCCGCGACCTAACCTGCTTTCGTCGTGGTTTGGTTAAAGAAAGGGATCGCACGCTTTTGTCCACCCTGTTTATCCCAATATTATTCCGCCTGCTTAAAATTATTTTGCCCAGGGAAGAAGAAGAAGCTTCAGCGAAAACGGCTTCTACAAAGCTGCGACAGGTAGTACTAGTAGTACAGTAGCAACCACCAGCTCACCACGATTTACCTGTGATGGAAATGATTAATGAGTGGTGCTGCGACTTATAATTAAGAAATGCAGTAGCACTCCATTAGTTTAAATTTGAGATCGTGTTCTGAATGTATTTTTGGGAGAAAAATAACCAGGAGAAAGCTCGGAGCTGTCACGAAGATGGATGGATCTAGTAGGCGCTTCCATTGATTTGGGCACAGTGAATTTTCTGGTGGCGACTGTGGATGGGCAGCCAAAAAAGGAGTCAAAACAGGGTTGCTACTGTCCGAAGACTCCTAACCCTACATCTAGGATGTTGTCTATGTCATTAACTATATTATTATTTACTAGAACTTTTAACTTATGTGACATTATATTAATTAAGAGAGAGTGGAGAGAAGAAGAAACTGGGTCTCATGTAAGAAACAGCTTCAACACGAGAACCTATGCACTAGACATTATCAAGTTTTACATTGGGAGAAAATAGTGCCGTCATAATAGATAAAGAATAAATATGATTGATAGAAAAGATAGATGATGTATTTATTAATGACCCACTTTAAGAAACTATGGGTTGTGGAGTGTAGTTTCTATTATGATGTCTTATTGACATGGCACCATAGACACTACTTATGAATACTATGGCTTGGGACTGCCCCTGAGAGGATGCAACAATTGCAGGTCGCTACCGCGACCAGAGGAGGGAGCACGCAACAAACGTTTTTGTGACACACTAGCAGGGGCCCAACGGCTGACTTCCTTCCGTCCACACGCCAATCACCAAACGCACGCTGGTAGAGTAGTCGTATGCGGTTGGAACAGTAGATGTACAACATCATTGGACCGAGTACAGTACAGCGACGACAATAGCATATCCCATTAACCCTCCATTAATTACGGAACCCAAAATCGTAGTCGAATCGATCGATTTTGCACCTCGAACATCATGATGGTCGTGTTGTGAGCTTATAGTACTCATTTCCGTCCCAAAATATAATTATTTTTAACATAGTAATAAGTCAAATATTTTTAATTTTGATTATTAATAGCAAAAAAGAATCAATCATACAAAATTGATGTTATTAGGTTTATTATTAAACAAACTATCATAATATGTAACTCTTTTTATTTAAAATATTTTATTTTTATATAGATATTTGTTGATCAAAGTAGTATGTCGGCGACCGTGTAATTTTGGAACGGAGGGAATACTTCATTCTCCCTTCACCAAACTCAATATATACACCTAGTAGGCCCACTGACAGGGACACACACCAACCCTCCAGTTATCGTTGAAACGACCAGAAAAAGCTATGGATGGGTGCACCGTGCACCTGGACGATTGGTTGGCGCGAATTCGTCCGTCGCGCGTGCGATGCGAGAGAAGAAGGCTCCGATCGGGGCATTGCTGGTGGCGCGCCGCATCGATCGATGGGGCCAAAATTACGAGGACGATTGGCGGGCGGGTCGCCGTCGCTCGGGTCACCGGAGTCCACAACTCTCGCAGAGTGGCAAGGGTGGGGTGGGGGTGGGGGTGGTGGTGCCCTGGTGGGCCGAGTGGCCCACGACGACGTTATCGCCGGTGGGTGTAAGTCGGGAGGGCACTGATTGGCTCGTCCGGAGTCTGGTCATTACCGAATGTTACTAGATTTGACACAGTACTTTTGTTTGTCTCATAGTAGTATTGATTTCGAGCCTCTCACACTGTGGTACTTCCTCCATACATAATACTTTATCCGTTTTATAAAAAACCAGCTATAAATCTAAACATAGGCTATATCCTGATTAATAGCTAGAAGTTAATCTTTTTAGTCAGAGGAAGTATATCATAATATTATAAATGTGAACAAATTTCCTATCCAAATTATACCTCTTATCTATCTATTTATTAAAATATTGTTTTCTAGTACTTGATAAAAAACAATTTAGGTTTTCTCATTATTATTTTTTCCATAGAATATTGAAAATCAATTTATTTTGAAGAATCCCTGGCAACTCTTATGGGAACATGAGAGAACACTTGATAGTGGCTCGCACGAAGGAATAACAAATGAGATCGCGCTATTCATGACCCAGGGAAAGCTTCTTGCGGTTAATTAGCAACATCTATGACTAGCTAGTGGCTATTCCTTTGACGAAGCTGGTGGTGGGATCAAGTAGCAGCATCTATGATTGACTTACATAGATCTAGTGGCTCTTGCGGTTTCGCCGGTCTTCGCATCCGGGCATCTGCCGATCTTCGGGGGTAGGTGGTTGGTGAATGAAAAAACGAATTGTGTTATTTTTTTTTAAAAAAAAAGAGTTGCGTGGAAATGTAAAATACTTGTAGGTAGATATCCCCTTCACCCTAAAATAAAGCTATTTCGATCACTCAGTTTTTTCTTTTCAAATGAAGCTATTTTCTCATATATCTATCATTTCAACGAATCACAATCATCTTTTATTTTATTTCTTCATCCAATTTCTTTTACCAATCATAATGTTTCCTGATCATTTTTTACATTTTTCAAGTAGATGTGGGGTCCTGAGCGAAGTTGACCCCACTGCTACTTGTGGAATTGCCAGTAAGGCGTCAATTTGGCGCGACAATTGCAGCTTTCTCCAAGAGGACATGCCAAACTTGACAACAACATTTCCGTAAGATGCTAGAGTGCAGTTGTCACTTGCATATACAGCAGGGAGAAATGATGACGAGGTTTTTGGCTTACTGTATTAGCATTAGGACGTTTAGTTCACGCTAAAATTGAAAGTTTGATCGAAATTGGAACGATATGACGGAAAAGTTGAAGGTTTATGTGTAGGAAAGTTTTGATGTGATGAAAAAGTTAAAAGTTTGAAAAAATAGTTGGAAACTAAACCAGGCCTTAGTAACACCGTCCCAAAATAAGGTTGCGTTCGGGAGGGCACGCAAAACGGAGCAGCGTTTAGCGCGTGATTAATTAAGTATTAGATTTTTTTTCTTAAAAATAGATTAATATGATTTTTTAAGCAATTTTTGTATAAAATGTTTTTTTAAAAAACGCACCATTTAGTAGTTTGAAAAGCGTGCTCGTGAAAAATGAGAAGAATGAGAAGGAGGGAATAGGAACAGCCACTGCTGACGTTTTGGACATTCTAAATACTAGTGAGTAATTAATTAGAATCCATATTTTCCATTTTTTCCATATTAGATATCAATTTTATGGAGACGAAGCAACACATCTCTACATGAACGTAGGGGTACTCTGGAAAGCTAAAACATCGATATTTTCCATCCACAAGCTATTAACCTCATCGTTAATTAAAAGTGATCTAAAAAAATTATTTATTATTTATTTTGGAACGAAGGAAGTACGTACCATCTGATCTTATAGTTAAAAAGATACATCTGATCTTATAGTTAAAAGATACAGAGAGGGTTTGGTTATCATAGGTTTGGGACCACGGGTAACAAAAACAGAAGGTCAACTCTGGTTTCCGTGGTGAATAATTTCCCGAACCTTGAGAATGCCGGAGGTTAGCTTCGTTCAGACTTGGCTTCAGCCTTCATACGAACAATTTTCAAGTCAGATGCATCATTCCATATTGTATATTTTACGGAGCATATTTTACTTGTTTTAGCTTCTTTCCAATTTTTCTTTGTTTTTTTTCCAATTACACGACAAACCCACTCACAAGCTAAATCAAGTAAAATATGCTCTGTAGTTTTCACAAGCTAAGGGTGTGTTTGGTTGGACTGTAGCTTTTGAAAAAGCGGCTGTGGGCTGTGACTTTTAGAAAATTAGCTGTGAGAAAGACAAAAGCTCGTTTGGTTACACACAGGTGGCTTTTGAAAAAGCTTCTCTCCTGACGAGTGGACCCCACATGTCATACACAGGTATCTTCTCCATCTACACAGACACAGGAAAGGCAGGGCAGACGAGCGAGGTGGCGGCAGACATGGGCGGCGGCGGGCTAGCTCCTGCTCCGGCGTCGGCGAGGAGGGCCGTCGCCCCGTGGCATCTGCCTCCTCCGGCTCCGGGTCTGGCTCGTCCCGCGCGTCACCGAAGAAGTTGGCGTCGATGCGGTCGTCGGTGGCGCCGTCCTCGTCGTTGTCGCCGTCTCCCCACGAGCAGTTGCGGCGGGAGCCGCCGCGGCGGCGGATGCGCTGCGGCGTGCGGCGGTAGACGCAGGCGGCAGGGCGAGGAGGAGCGGCGGCGACGACGAAGTGAGGAGGAGGAGGAGGAGCGACACCGGGGGTAGAAAAAAGAAACGCGAACCGTTTTTTTGTGTAATGGCAGAGATGGGTAATTTTTTCCCCAAAAAGCAGGTGAAAGCAGAGGGTAGAGGTGCTTTTGATTTATACTACACTAAAAGCTGGCTTTGGACAAAAGCAATTGTAGCTTTTGGGTCCTTTGGTTGGCTTTAAGCTTTTGCAAAAGCAAAAGCAGGTTGAAAAGTCTAACCAAACACACCCTAAATCTTGCTATTAGTGAGATATCTCAGTCTACAAATGTAGGCCTAAAATTGTTCATATTTTTTTGACGAGCTCGCACATATGTTCTTTTTCTTAGTTTGACCTCAGAGTATGCTTTACAAATATTTGCAGGAATTCACAAAACACGTGGAATTCAACTATTTTCCAATCTTATAATTAGCTTGTCGCTGTCGTATGACCGACGCATAGTCCGTCATGTTACTTCCCTTCATAAAAAAAAATCAATCTAGATAAAGATGTATCCATCACCTAAAACAACAAATGATATAAGATTGTCCAGATTTATTATTTTTGGTGGTATCACATTTTTACATAGTTTGTTTTTTTGGATGGAGAGAGTAGATGAAATTGTACGTACCGTCGTACCGTCATGCACAAAGTACTTGAACAGTTGCTAATGCCGCGGTTGCCAATGCAGATAACCCAAGATAAAACATCACTCTAGAATTTAATTTTTGTTCTCAGACACAAACCTGCATGAAAAACATACAAAGGCTACGATATAATTGCAGTGCAGCTGCTTATTTATACTACAGTTCAGGCCCATTTGGGGGGTCCATTCAAAGCCCAAATCCAGCCCCACTTCAGTCTCCCCGAGATCAGTGCTTCGCACACGGCTTGCGCCGATCTCAAACGAGGCGGCGGCAGAGGGTGATGCCGTCGGAGACCGGGAGCTGCACGGCCTCCACGCGCGGGTCGCCGGCGATCTTGGCGTTGAAGGCCACGATGGAGCGGCGGATGTCCTGGTCGAACTCCTCCAGCACGGAGTCGTCCTCCAGCGCCACGGACCCGCCCCAGAGCGTGTTGTCGTAGGCCAGCACGCCGCCGGCGCGCACCAGCCGCAGCAGCCGCTCGTGGTACTCGCCGTAGTTCCCCTTGTCGGCGTCCACGAACGCGAAGTCGAACTTCCCCTCGTTCTCCTCCTGCAATGCACAAAAGACATGAGACATATGATCGAGCAGCTGGCATGCAATCACCAAGACGTACGTTGCTTTGCTATTGCTTACGTTGGCGAGGAGGTTGTCGAGGATGGGCATGGCGGCGCCCTCGCGGAAGTCGACCTTGTGGGCGACGCCGGCCTTCTTGATGACGGGGAGGCCGAGGTCGAAGTACTCCCGGCTGACGTCGATGGCGACGACCTTGCCGTCGTCCGGGATGGCGAGCGCGGTGGCGAGCACGGAGCAGCCGGTGAACACGCCCACCTCGATGGTGTTCTTGGCGCCTGTCAGGTTCAGCAGCAGCGACAGCAGCTGCCCTTCCTCCGGCGGCGACGACATGAACCCACTGATCGAATCCAACAAAAATGTTACACAACACAGCATCATATCATCAGCTTCTAATTAATCACGCTGAATTTAGCATGTACTACCTCCATAAAAAAAACCTAATCTTAGATTTGAATCTGAACATATATGTGTCTAGGTTCAAAACCTAGGAGTGTGTCCAGATTTAAACTTAGAATTAGTTTTTTTTTTTTGGAATGGAGAGAGAGTATAAATTAGGAGACAAATAGTACTAGGTGTGCTCGCTGGTGATGAGGCGGAGCTCGCGCATGAACTCGTTCTCCCGCGGGTACACCATCGTGTTCAGCATGTACTGCACCCAAAAAAGGGTTTTTGGTCATATCATCTCAATCAACGATTGCTCGTCCATGCACTGCAATATGGGGATGAAAATCACGAAAATTAATCAACTAGAAACTGATGTGTACCTCGTGGAGGGATTCACTCTTGAGGAGGGTCTTGGGGCTATCGTTGCTGTGGATGGCCGTCTTCATCTCCTTGGACTGAATCTGAATGCCGCCGTTGGCGCCATGGCTGGCATCGCCGTTCGCCGCCGCCATGGCCGTGCTTGATACTCTTGACGCCGGTGTCGTTCGCTTCAGCCGCCTAGAGTGTGCAGTGCAGTACACAGGGAGAAGTGTTACCAGGAGAGGCATTGCTGCCAAGCTCTATATACACGAGGGATGGGCACGCTTTCTGGGCCGACAGCTAGCTTAGGCCGGCATCAGCTGGAGTGTCAGTGGTGGTGCCATGTCATCCACTGTGTCGCGGTCACGCAGATAGCATGCAGATGCAGGGATGGATGAGGACAAGTGCGTACGTCGTCCCCAGCGCAGCGGCCGGCCCAGCTGATCGATCGATCGGTGCGCGGCCACTGTGTGGCTCACCGCTCATCGATCACACGCACGCGGCCGTCCCCTTCGGTGTTTTCCTCGTGCGGTTGCTTCTTTTCTTCGGTAGTAGTACACGCGCTTGCGTGGTTGGCGGTTTGCCCGTGGGCGCGGCATGGGCATGGGCATGGCGGTGTGGCTGCGTCACCGAATCGGCGTGCTCTCCATCACGCCGCTCGCGTCGCGCTCGCGCCGGGGGTTGTGAGCGGCGCGGCGTGACGACGGATGGACCGCGGATGGATGGGTGTCATGGACTCATGGTCATGTTGGTGGGATATTTGGGATCCGCGTCGGCTGCGCCTCCGCGCGTCGGCGCGTGCGGTGTGAGCCGCGTGATCGGGATCGGATGGCCCGTTGGTGCGTTCCGCGCTGGTGGATCGAGTCTATTCTCCCCGTCTCCAAATAAATCAATCTAAAACAAGCGTGTGTTTGGCTTGGAATCAAGTGAGAATCCATCGTTTTATTTATAGGATGGTCTCATCTATGTATTTAGCACAAGGATCGAAATGCTCTTTCTCTTAAGGGCATGTACAAAGATAGAGTTAGATATGAGCTCTACGTTATTTAGAGACTAGCATTCTACAACAGTTAGAGACAATATGGTCTCTAATCATTAATGTATCAAAATACTTTTTATTACTCTCCTTTCCTTTCTTTCACCATCATGCAACAAAATTTGCTCTAATAAATGCTATGAGTCGACTCTGAGCCGTTGTCATGCATAACAACCATATTCTTTTCTCTTTCTTCCATATCATCAAATTTACTTGCATGGCAATAGAGAGACCACTAATAAAGACCATTGTACATGCTCTAAGAGTTTGAAGGGTGTGACCGGCATGTCAATAAGAGAAAAGGAAGTACTATTAAGTTGGATTGGTCCACCATTTTTTCATGAAGCTAACCGAGATCTAAAGGAAATGTTGCTTTTTAGAAATCATCCCATCGCAATTGTTCTCAAGGCCCAAACAGCCAAACCAAACACCCTAAAAAATAAGTTCGCTCAAACCCAACCTATCCTCAGTTATAGCTCCAATCTGATCCATATCTCTGAACCGCAATATTGGATATCTCGACCTTTCAATTTATTAAAACCAGTGTAATTTGAATCCCTAAATGGTTTTAGAGAGCGGTTTCGCTGACGTGGCACTTTGATTTAGTTTGATCGGCTGACTCAACGTGTGGGTTCAGCATGTCTATGACTCCTCCTTTTTTCCTTATCTTTTGTCTCTCTCCTCACTTGTCTCTTCACTGGCAACATTGGTAGGAGGTGCTGGCGCAGTCGCTCTGTCTCGCTCCCTTCCGCCTCTCCCTTCAAGTCATGACGCCACCCACCTTGCTGAAGGAGAGAAAGATATGTGGGCCCCACAATATTTTTTTAATGATAAATGGGTCCCTCATATTTTTTTATTCTAATGCCACAAGCGCCACATCAATACCATGTTGGACGAAACCAGGTCAACACCACCACATTAGTGAAACCGTCATTTAAAACCGTCGAAGGTGTCAAAATACATTGGTTTTAATAATTGGAGGTGAAGATATCTGGTATTGTAGTCCGAGGATACGAATCAGATTTAGCCACTAGTAAGGCAGCCAAAGTGGATTTATTCTTTATTTTTTGGACGGATTTTTGGACGGAGGGAGTAGTTGGTGTTAGGTTGCAAAGGCTTAAGCGAAGACGGGCAGTGGACTGGCTTGGTTGGCTAGGACCGAATGGCCGATTACGCTGGCGGCCATGTTCGGGTGAACGGCCCATGTGAGTGGTTGTTTGGGCTTGTTTTGGCCCATTTGTAACACTAAAAGAGCACACGTGCATAATACGAAAGAGATGTTTATCCTAGGCATGTTGATACATCCGTAACAGCAACCCCTTGGAGGAGTATGGGGAAAGGAACCTTCCTGCTTTGAAAAGGAGATAAAGGAATTTTGTTGGATTCACACTGGGGTATATGGTATACGAGAATATGGACATGGCTATAAATCAAAATTTAACTCAGAAAATTGGATTGTTAATGTTTCAGTTGATTGGAGGCGAAACACAAAGCTATATGATGTGAAAAAAAAACTATATTTTCCACTCTGTTTTTTTTTTGGAATGTCTCCTCCACTGCAAGCTTAATCTCAGGCATTTAATACATTGCAACAAAATCTAATTGATTGCAATAAGAACTTAGCAAATTTGTAACAAATTAACACCAATATGGACGATGGAAAACAAAATTTATTCCCCTTTCGATCAAGAGAGTCCCCAGAATGCAACGGAAGGAAAACAAGAATTGGAACAACAAAGAAAACTTGTTGCAACGAACACCGCAACATTAATTGATTATGTGCAAGGCTAGAAGAGGAGGCACCTGGGTGTGTACATCGTGCTTCTCCACACCTTCGTGCAAGCCATGGACATATGCTCCTCGGTGACAGCTTCACCAGCGACGGAGGACAAGCAAAGGTAGCATGGAGAGGGAGGCTATTATGATGTCCTATTTGGCACTAGCAAGTTATATATGGTCCTTTAGATGGATGAGGTTAAGGTTGTTAAGTGGATGAGAAATGAGTGGTCAGCATGCACATTCTCAGTACAAATATTTTCTTTCATGTTTTGTTGGCTCATGAATACCATGCATGAACTGTACATGTGGAAAAGTTGACGTTGAATTTGAACTTCAATTATTGTACGACAAGATCAACAGCAACAGTAGAGCAACGTACTCTCTCCTACGCAAAATAAATCAACCACCTATTACAATGTCCTAAAATAAACATCATACTACTACGAGGTTGTTTTATTTTGAGACCGAGAGGGTATAGACACTCTAGCGCATTTCTAAGATTGCCCGATCGATCGGTCGATCTCACTTGAGGCGGCGGCACAGCGTGACGCCGTCGGCGACGGGGAGCAGGCATGCCTCGACGCGGTCGTCGGCGGCGACCATGGCGTTGAACCCGACCATGTAGTCGCGCACCACGCGGTCGTACGCCGAGCTCCCCGGCGTGTCGCGCGGCATTGCCACGGACCCGCCCCACAGCGTGTTGTCGTACGCGACCACGCCGCCGACGCGCAGCAGCCGCACCAGCCGCTCGTGGTACCCGCGGTACTGCTCCTTGTCCGCGTCCGCGTACGCGAAGTCGAACTTCCCCTCGCCGCCGGCGAGCAGCTGGTCGAGCACGGCGAGCCCGTCGCCGTGGCGGAAGTCGACCTTGTGCGCGACGCCGGCGTCCTCGATCACCGGGCGCCCCAGCTCGTAGTACTCCCGGCTCACGTCGATGGCCACCACCTTGCCGTCGTCGGGGAGGGCCAGCGCGGTGGCGAGCAGCGAGTAGCCGGTGAAGACGCCGACCTCGACGGCGTTCCTGGCGCCGATCATCTTGAGTAGCACGGAGAAGAACTGCATCTGGTCCGGCGACGACCCCATGAACGACCTGTGCGTACGTACGTAAATTAAAACGGCCGACGTCGACGTGACAAGCCAAAGAAAAAGAAAAAAACGATTATGCAACGCACTTGGGATGGTTCTGCGTGATGAGGCGGAGCTCGCGCAAGCGCTCGTGCTCCCGCGGGTACACCGTCGTGTCCAGCACATACTGCAAAGTGCACACACAAATATGCATCTCTCCATCATTTTTTCGATCTCTTCCTCCAAAAAAACGAACATGAAACACACACCACTGCACACGTACATCGCGCTTACACATCCGCGAGTCTATACGTACCTCGAGGATGGAGTCGGACTTGAGGAGGGTATTGCTGCCCGGCCGGTAGGTCGCCATGGCTAGCTAGCTAGCTCCGATGATGATCTCTCAATGGCCTCTCTAGCTATCTGGACCTCTTACATGAGTATTGCAGATCAATTAATGACTAAAAAAAAAGATAAGAAGAAGAACAAGACGACACGGCGTTTTGTTAAATTGGTAGGTCGCGTGATGACCTGAACGTGCAGTTACTCAGCGTCTCTACCGATCAGCTAATTGCTGACAGTACTTTGGTATAAAATATGGTGTGCTCCCTCCATTTTAGGTTATTAGAAGTTTTAACTTTAGTTAAAATCAAACTACTTTCAATTTTACTAAGTTTGTAGATAACTATAGTAATATTTATAATACCAAATTAGTTTTATTAAATCAATAATTAAATATATTTTTATAATAAATCTAACATGGGTTGAAAATGTTTATTTTCTATAATTTAGTCAAACTTAAAGTAGTTTGACTTTGACATATTAACCTGAAACAGAGGTAATAATTGTTACCGGTTCATCTATAACTTTAATTATTAAAAATTTTGAGATGATTAAATCGTTAGAGTATCTTAAAAAAATAACTATCAAGTTTTTTGAGGGAAAACTTTCAAATGTAACTATAATGTAATTGAGTGTAATTACATTGTAACTGCACTATAACCGCATTGTAATTACATTAATTTATACCGTGGCTATGTTATAGCTACAGTATAACTGATATAAACCTGTATTTAAGACTAGTTTAGTTGACTAGCACCGGGATCTTATCCGTAGCCTATGTGAAATTTCTTTCTAGCAATTATTTTTCTATTCAATGCACCCATCTTAAAATGATCCAATAATAACAAATCTGAAAGTTTTGACAAAAATTTTCTAGCATTCTAGCAATTTTGTTAAATCATAATGAAAGAAAGTTTAATACTTATGTTTATGTAATATACTTCGATAGCATGATATTTATTTAATTATTTAGATAACATTTGTGAAAATCCAAATTATTAAAGTCTAAATATGAAGGAAAGGAGGGAGCAGTGGCGGATCTATGTGGACCCCCGTTTTTATAACAGGAATCAATCGTGTAAACAGTACCATTTCCCTGGATCAAGTAGTCTGGTACACACGAATTCTTAGCTGAAATATCAAGTGCACATACACGAGTGTCTAGTATGAATCATTGCATCATAAGCCCGCAGGCATAGTCTTAAATCATCGGACCGAGCGGTCCGGAATACATTCCAAAAACAGAAGAAGGTAAGGCAGCGGAGTTAAGGCAGCGGCACGCCATTGCCACAGGCAATGACCGTAACTAAGACCTACTGGGCGCCATCGTCTTCATCACCCTCCTGTTAGTAAGCGTAGGGATCCTCCGAAGCTTCATCTCCGACCTCTGATTAAATTTGTATATTGCAAGGGTGAGTACCAACCGTACTCAGCAAGCCACCACAGCAATAATGCACATGACAGGGGAATTCAAAGGATGGCTATAGTTCTTTTGCGCAAAGCAAGTTTTGTAATTCTTTTCACAAGCCTAAGATCTAGCATAGACTGATCAAATTTTAATACCAGCGTTCACATTAAACAACGACGGTTCTGTCCACCATCCATTGTGATCCCAAGGATAGCTTCCCGCCATTGAGTCGTCATGGTTTTCTGAGGACGTCCACATTCCCGCCTCTCAGGAAGTGGCTCCATCAGCATAAAAATCATCATGCAATATCCCATCCCACATAAGTTAAGAATTTAGAGTCTAGCCAAGTGTAATACATGTCCCGGTGCTCAATAACCGCGAGCACGGCTATTCGAATAGATTTGGTTTACTCACACTGCAGTGGATGTACACTTTACCCGCACTCCGCGACTGCCCAACACATGAGCCTCGTCCCAACACATGAGACGCGTCACGGCAAAGCTTTTTGATAACCTCGCATTGGCAGTACCCGCTCCATGAACTTAAATCCTCATGCACTCTAGGCGTCCATGTTTCTAGCAGTGAGAGGAGTTCTGGCGCTCCCGGGAAAGAGAAGTCTCACACACATATTAAATTATGGTTCAAGTTAAGTTCTCTCTCTCACACACTCATGGCAGTCCTACCGATGGCGACACCGATGTAGGGCACGCCTCTCGGCCCTACCTCAACGGCTACCCCACCATAGCGCACCTACCTCACTCAGGGGTGAACCATCTATGCAGGGATACTGCCTCCGCTCGGCTATCTAATCCGCTAGGTCTATACCCATACGAGAAGTGCGGTTGTACGGGGGTCGTTTCATGCTTAACTTCATGGCTCGGTCCTTAATTGACCGGGGACGGTACTAGCCTTTCCCAGATACCACCCAAATCCACCGTCCGCCCCAGTCGAAAACAATTGTTTAATTTTATTTCTCCTTTCACAAATCATGTCATCAACATCATGGCAATGTGGCGCTCATGTCTCTACATGCCGCATCTCAATTACCTTCCCAAAGGTAATTGCCCAAGCATATAACATTTGATAAATGTGAGTATGTATGATTTTAGAATAGCATTTCTAAGCAATTGTCATAATTGACTAGGGACTCATACGTAAATATGGTTACGAAGGAATAAAGGGCAACCAATAATCAAGGCATGGCATAATCACAAGTAGGATGTTCATCATTGCATGCAATTTTATTTGTAAACAAAACAATTTCGCAATTGGGACCAACATGTTCAAGGAATAGTGATGACTTGCCTTGCTCAAAGTCTTGCGGGTCTTGGCTTTCACTTGGATCCGCAACTCCCTCGGGCTCTATAGTTACATGCAAAAATTGATTTGAATTCGGTTAGAATTCAAATAAAAATCCAAATAAATCCAAATGGAAGTCGAATGCGAAAGTCGATTCTTTTATATTAACTTTACTATTTGCGAACTAGGGCAAACCCAATTTCGATTTATACATCCTAAACTATTTTTTGCGGGTATACATATTTTGTTACCATAAGTTTTTAATTTAATCTACCCGGGCATTATATCCATATAATAGGTTAGAAATTTCTATCGCGAGCTAAATATCGGACAAAATCCTAAAATTATTATACGATTTAATTTAGTCTATGACTAAATGATTAAATATAATACACGGCTAAAATCCCTAGTAATTAAATCCGAATTTCTACCGTGAATCGATTACTTATAGAGATTACCCAAAAATAATCTATAATAATCTATAAGGATTTTTCTACTTGTTTAGTTGTTAATTACATCTAAATCACTACCGCAAATTGATTTCTTATAGAAATTTCCAAGGATAATCCATAATTTATATTAAATTTTGCAATTCTACGACTATAATTAATCTATAATTAAATTCTAATTATTTTAAATTTTCTAAACTTTCCTAATCTCCCTCTAATTTCTATTTATTTTTCCTCCCTCTCTCTCTTCTTTTTCCTTCTCTCTCTCTTTTCTTTTCTTTTCTTTTCCTTCTCTCTCTTTTCTTTTCTTTTTCTTTCTCTCTCTCTTCCTCCCGGTTTCTCTCCTCCTTCCTTCTTCTTTCTCTCCCTCGGCTTCTCCCTTCCTCTCTCTCTCTCGGCTCCCTCTCTACCCGGCGGCACGGCGACAAACAGGGGGGGCAGCAGCTCACCGACGGCGGCGGCGGCGACGACGGCGCACGGCGCGGCACACTGAGGCGGTGGCGCGGTGGCACGAATGCGGCGGCACGACAGCACGAGGGCGGCGGCGCGGCGGCTCAAAGGCAGCGACGCGGCGGCACGACGACGGCGGCGCGTGGAGAAGGGGAAGAGGCAGAGGAGGGGGAGATGGAGTGAGGAGAGGGGAGAACGGTGGAGCTTTTATAGGGGAGAGGGGGGAGTAAGGGGAAGAGGGGAGAGAGGGGCGGGTGACGCGACGGCGGCGCGGCGGCACGGGGCGAGAGGCGGCGATGGAACGCGCGCGGCGACGGGACGGCGACGGCGACGGCACGGCAGTGGTGGCGCGCGGCGCGAGGCGGTGATGGGACGCGCGCGGTGATGAATCTCTTCCAACGTAGCTTGTTCCTTCGGCACTCGTAAGCACTTCTTTAATTGAGACACATGGAAGACTGGGTGTACATCGGCGATATTTTTTGGTAGCTGTAACTGATAGGCAACTTCTCCTCGTCTAGCGATGATTTGGAAAGGTCCCACATATCTTGGTGCTAGTTTCCCTTTAACCTTAAATCTTTTTGTACCTCTCATCGGAGAAACCTTTAGATAGACGTAATCTCCTTCCTTAAATTCTAGGTTTCTTCTTCGGGTGTCGGTGTAACTCTTTTGTCGTGATTGTGCCACCTTTAAACGGTCACGGATCAAGCGAACCTTTTCTTCGGCTTCTTGGATAATGTCAGGTCCAAATACCGCCCGTTCTCCAGTCTCGGACCACATTAGCGGGGTGCGACATCGTCGACCAAATAATGCCTCATTTGGCGACATCTTTAGGTTTGCTTGGAAACTGTTGTTGTAGGAGAATTCGGTGTAGGGCAAACATCTCTCCCAGTCTTTGCTAAAATCCAATGCACAAGCTCTCAGCATGTCCTCCAAGACCTGGTTTGTTCTCTCTGTCTGGCCATCTGTTTGTGGGTGATAAGCTGTGCTAAACGCAAGGTAACTTCCTAGGGCTTCATGTACTTTCTCCCAGAAATGCGAGGTAAACTGTGTGCCTCGATCAGATATAATCCTCTTAGGTATACCATGAAGACACACTATCCTGGTCATGTATAACTCGACTAGCTTGGCACTGCTATAATTTGTCTTAACGGGAATGAATCTCGCTGTCTTGGTGAGTCGGTCTACGATCACCCAGATGGAATCATATCCTGTTGCGGTCTTGGGCTGTCACGCCCAGAAATTTAGCCCAAATTTCCAGACTATTTTGTGTATTAAATCCCTGTCCAGGACCAGCCAGGGTACACAAAACGACAAGTAATAAACAGTTCCAAACGTAAATAAAGCGTAAAATACTTACAGAAGAGGCACTTAGTCCTCACACCGAAACAAAAGCAGCAGCAGCGGAAAAAGGCGATCCTAGCGGGGCTTCAGCTCCACTCCACAGGCAAAACTCAACTGGGGTCTGAGCCTTGGTCCTCTAACTCCATCTTCAGCTCAGAAGCACTACACTTCTGAAAAGGGGGAATAATAGCAAGGCTGAGTACAACCACCGTACTCAGCAAGCCACACCAACGATGCAGACGTGCAAGGGGGAACACAAGGACGGTTTGTGGCTATTTGCATAAAGGCGGTTGTAAAACATTTTATTGAGCAAAACAGTAAAACTGTTGAGTAATTAAAGTAATATTAAATCTCCACTGATCAACGCTACACCACGTTGAACAGGCCCAACCAACCCACCTGTACTACAGTGCATTGGGTCGATTTATTAGGTGTGAGACTAATCACGGTGAATCTGGTCGATCGCCCATAACCGCGGGCACGGCTATTCGAATAGTTTTACTCTGGCCAGAGGTGCACAACTGTACCCACAAGACACAACCCACCGACATGTCACCGCGTCATCATGTGCCCATGATGCACACGTCACCATGTCGAGTGATTGTGACGAGACCCTTCGCATAACCCTCCCCTAACCATCCACACCACGCTAAGGTTTCACCCCCACCCCTCAAAAGGCAGTGGGCGGTCCCCTCTTGCGCCGCGGTGAATCCGGCAGCTGGACAACCGGACACCCCGGCCGACCCAACTCCATCACGCCCACCCTCGCCACCGGTGCCTAGGAAAGGGTCGAGCTATACTTCAGATCAAGCAGTTACCCATTCCCGCTTGTGGCAAGCGCTGTAAGTCTTCCAGGGTTTCCCGTGAACCGGTCCTTAATTGCTATGGGTGCGACTCGCAAAACCATGCATCCACAGCCCACCATTCAGTCGCATTTTAGTTGGATAATTACGACCATAAAACATGGCCAGATGTCTCGAGCACGCAGCTCAACAAGATACTAGAATGTCTAATACTGCAATTATCCCATCGACTGAGCTAGTGGTAATTAAGCATGGCTAAGCATATAGTTCTAGCTAGGTCACATAAGTAACACAAGCTAGTCAATTTATTACCCAAGGTTGACAAAGAACAGATATCAAGTAAACATGGCGCAAGCGAGCAGATAGGAAAACCCTGATCCCATGTAATTAGCAAAACATGCATATTTATTTGTAAACGGTAAAACATTTATAAATTGGGATCAACATGCTCAAGGAGAATGTGTGACTTGCCTTGCTTCTTCACTTTGATCTTCTGAACTCTTTTCCTCGCGACCGCGGACTTCCGAAACGACGGAAACTACACGCTGGCACGCAAAACGAGGAAAAACTCTAATAAACACCAAGAAAACAGTACATAAAAAGTAAACAAACATGTAGAGCTCAATTTTAGATGAATTTTGCAAGTTGAATGGCTCAATTCGGAGTTCGAATGAATTAGATATGAATTTTAGAAGGTTTTGAGCCATTTTAATGAATTTCTAGAATTATTACCGATTTATTGCGCAATTTAAATCAATTATGACGTCATCCGACGGGGGAGAGGTGGCGCCGGCAAGCGGGCCCCACCTGACGGTGACTCACGGGTGGCGGGCGCACCGTGGACCGAGTCCACGCATGCGCTGGTCCGCGGGCGCACCACGTGGCAGACACGTGGCGGCCACGACGGACGGCTAGCGGAGGTGGCGCCGACGTGGCGCCACAGAGGCACCGACGCGGGCGGCACGGGAAGGCCACGTGGACGGCCCAGATCGCCCCGAAGGAGGATCGGGCGGCCACGGGCGAGCGGGAGCCAGCTCACCGGTCGGCCGGCCGGGAGCGACGGCGCACGGCCCGATGGTCGCCGGCGACGACCACCGGCGCGACGGCACGCACGGGAGGCGACGAAAAGAGGGGAAAGGGAAAGGAGATGAAGGGGGTCCTCACCGAGGAGCGCCGGCGACGGGACGACCATGGGGAGGCGACCGGCGGCGGAAAGGATGGCGGCGGCCGACACGGGAGGCGACGGGAACGGCGGTCCGACGACGCCCGACCATGGCGGAGCCGCGGCCGAGGGCCGGCAAGACCTAGGGAAATTATTGGAGCGGTTAGGGAGGGAAATAGGCGACCGGAGCGGCGAGAATACCACGCCAGAGAGGAGAGGAATGGTGGGGCTCACCGGCGACCGAGAGGTACCACGTTCCGGTGGGTTTCCGGCGATGAACAACGGTGACCGAGGTGCTGCACGGCGCTGCGAGGCGAGAGGTGAAGACGGAGCGACGCGGCGGCGGCTAAGGCGACGGTGGCACACGGCTGGAGGCGGCGTATGGTGGAGGTGGCTCGGGATGCACGGTGGAAGGGTGGTTGCGGTGGTGGAATGGGGAAACGGAGCGGAGGCCGGGGTAGAGCTTGGCACGGCGTTGCCGACGGCGCAAGCGGCGAGGTGCGGCGACGACTAACGCAGCGGCAGCGGCCGGCTGAAGGCGGTGTGTGGCGGTAGTGGCTCGGCCTCGCGATGGGAAGGTGGTTCCGGCGGTGGAGGAGGGAGATGGAGTGGATGCCGGGGTGCGGTGGGGTGGTGTGATGCTATAGGTGGTGGCGGCGCAGCGCGGCAGCGACGGGAGCGGCGGTGGCGGGCGGCTGGAGATCGCCGGCGAGCGGCGGCGAAGGGGATCGGCGTGGAGAGCTCGGTAGAGGGCGTGGGGGACTCGGGAAAACGGGGAAAAAGGAAGAGGAGTCCACGGGGATTGATTTTATAGCTCAAGGGGGCGAGGAGAGGGCCGGGGAGCGGCGGATTTCGAGGGGAAGTGGGGCGGCGTCGTGGGGGTGTGGCGGCTCGGCGTGGCGTTGATTCCCGCGGGGAGAGAGGGGGAGTGGGGCGGGATGTGGTCGCGAGGTGGAAGGGGTCTCGGGTCCACGCCGGTTGGGACGAGGGGAGGTGCGGGATCGGCGGAGGGAGTGGGCGGCGTGGGCGGCGGTTGGAGCTGGCCGGAGGTTGGGGATGACAGGTGGGGTCCACGGGTCCCACCTGTCGGCCTGAGTGAGAGGGGAGGCCGGGAGGGAGGAAAAGCAGACTTGCGCCAAAAAGGGGAGGCAAGCCGGGCCGCGGGAGGGGAAGGAGAGAGGATTTTGGGCCGAGCCCGAAAGGGAGGAAGGGGAAGTTTATTTTGTTTTCTTTTTATTTAAATTGATGCAATGACCTTTGTGCTATTAAAACTATTTCTCGAGCTCCGAAAATTCACGGAAAATTCCGGAGAGTACATTAGGGCACAAAGAATATTACAAAATATTCCCGGCCAATGATTTTTAAGGGAAAATTTTAATTCTCCCAACATTTCACTTGGATAAATTGATTTAACTTTTATTTAATTTCTAGAAAATGTATTATTAATTGATTTTTAAACCCGAACGAAAATCGGGGCGTTACATGGGCAATCCAACAATAAAATCCATACCTATCTCATCCCATTTCCACTCGGGAATCCTAAGGGGTTGCAGCAAACCTGCCGGTCTCTGGTACTCAGCCTTCACCTTCTGGCACACGTCACAGAGTGCTACGTATTCTGCCACATCTCTCTTCATGTTGGGCCACCAGTAACCGTCCTTCAGATCTTGGTACATCTTCGTACTTCCGGGGTGCAATGAATATGCTGATTCGTGAGCTTCCTTTAAAATTAATCCCCTCAGTCCACCCTGTTCGGGTACATAAATCCTCTTTTTATACCATAGGACATCCTTCTCGTCGGTTGAAAATTCCTTTGCAAATCCTGCAGCTAGACGTTCCTTCACCTCTCGGATTTCCTCGTTGTCCTTCTAGGCCTCTTCTATTTGGGTTCTCAAAAGAGGTTGAATGTCCAAGGTGTTTATCTGTCCATGAGGTACTATATGTAGGTTTAGTTGGGCTATTTCCTCCTTAAGCTCAGGAGCCATTCCTTCCGTCCTCAGATGATTGCAATGGCTCTTCCGACTCAAAGCGTCGGCCACCACGTTTGCCTTGCCGAGGTGATAGTGAACCTCCAAGTCATAATCCTTGATTAATTCCAACCATCGCCTTTGCCTCAAGTTGAGATCTGACTGGGTGAAAATATACTTCAGACTCTTGTGGTCAGTGTAGATATCGCAATGGTTTCCAATTAGATAATGTCTCCAAATCTTTAGCGCATGAACCACAGCTGCGAGTTCTAGGTCATGGGTAGGGTAATTTTCCTCGTGTGGTCGCAGTTTTCGCGACGCATAGGCAACAACCTTTCCGTCCTGCATCAGTACTCCTCCTAGTCCTTGCCTTGACGCATCACAATATATAACAAAGTCTTTCCTGATGTCGGGAAGAACTAGAATAGGTGCCGAGGTCAGCTTTTCTTTGAGCTGCTCAAAGCTTTCCTGACACTGTTCTGACCATACAAACTTCTTTTCCTTCTTGAGTAGTTGTCTCATTGGTCGGGCTATCTTAGATAATCCTTCAGTAAACCTTCGGTAGTATCCGGCCAAGCCTAGAAAACTCCGAATTTCAGTCACAGATTTGGGTGCTTTCCATTCCGTAACGGCCTCCACTTTAGCAGGATCCACTGCTACTCCACCGGCTGAGATTACGTGGCCTAGAAAAGCGACTTCTTTTAACCAGAACTCACATTTACTAAACTTTGCATATAATTTATGCTTCCGAAGTTTCTCGAGTACCAATCGCAAGTGTTCCGCATGTTCTTCCTCATCTCTGGAGTAGATTAAAATATCATCGATGAATACTACCACAAATTTGTCCAGGTAATCCATGAACACTTTATTCATAAGATTCATAAAATATGCCGGGGCGTTGGTTAATCCAAACGACAACACTGTGAATTCATACAATCCATAACGCGTTGAGAACGCGGTCTTAGGTATATCCCCGGTCCTAATCTTCAATTGATGGTATCCTGATCGAAGGTCAATCTTAGAGAACACCTTGGCTCCTTTGAGTTGATCAAAAAGATCATCAATCCGTGGTAGTGGATACTTGTTTTTGATAGTTACTTCGTTCAGTGAACGGTAGTCTACACACATCCTCATGCTACCATCTTTCTTCTTGACGAATAGCACTGGGGCTCCCCAAGGTGACGAACTGGGGCGTACAAATCCCTTTTCTTGCAACTCTCTAATTTGCTTTTTAAGTTCCTCCAACTCATTGACCGGCATCCGATATGGTCTCTTGGATATGGGGGCAGTTCCGGGTATCAGGTCAATAAGGAACTCTATGTCACGATCTGGTGGCATTCCAGGTAAATCTTCTGGGAACACATCAGGAAATCGCTGCACTACGGGAATTCCTTTTTGGGGTAGCATGGTAAATATGCCTCCGGCACGTTCGGTTAGTCTAGGATCTTGATCCATGGTTGCTCTCATATCCGATCCCCAGGGTGTGGTCAGGGTAACTTCTCTACGTCTACAGTCGATTACTCCCCTATGCTTTGTTAACCAATCCATACCCAATATGACATCAAGAGTTTGGGGCATCAGCACCATAAGATTGGAGGGAAATACCACATCCCTAAGGCGGATGGGTACATCAATGCAAGCTGTATCCACTGCTATCTCACCCCCAGGTGAATGTACTAACATTGGTTGTCTTAATTTAACTCTGGTCAAATTGTGTTGTTGACTTACTTTCAAAGATATAAATGAATGCGATGCTCCTGAATCGAAGAGAACTTTAACTGGAGTGGAGTTGATAGAAAACATACCCATCAGTACGCCTTGGTCTTCCTGGGCCTCTTCAGCTCGAACATGGTTCACTTGCCCGCGTCCAAATCCGGTAGTGGTCCTGTTAGTCTGCGGAGTCCCGAATAGACCTCGTCCAGCAGCAGGGGTAGCAGTCCCGTGAATAGCCGTTGCATTAGCTCCGGTGCAAATGGGTGTCTTGTTTGGATGAGGACATTTATTAGCAAAATGCCCATACTCTCCACAGTTGAAACAACTTCCTAGTCTTACTGATCCAGTGGCGGCTTGATTCGGTGCAGGAGCTCGGTTCTGGATGGTAATCAGCCTGTGGAAATTGCTGGATGCGGTAGGACGATTGGTTGTCACCACTGTTGGTCTCCATACTGAGGAGGTTGTCCCTTTATGACGCTAGGGTACGGGCTGAGGCGGGCGGTTCATGGCAAGCCTCCTTTTGCGATTGTGCTCCACGACCTTCCGGTCGTTTTCCAGCCTAACGACCTTATTGATTAAACTCTGGAAACTATCGTGGTCTTGTCCAATCATGGGCCCGCGCAACTCGTCATTCAAGCCTTCAATGAATTTGTCGATCTTTTCCTCCTCGTCGGCAAGATCTCCAGTCGCGTAGCGCGCCAGCTGAGTGAAACGGTTCAGGTACTCTTGTACTGTGGTATTCCCTTGCCGTAGTCTCCTGAACTCATTCTTCTTCATCCGCATCACCGCGGCAGGCACGAAGTTGTCACGGAAGGCTGTGGTAAATTCCTCCCAGTTTGGTTCTCCAGCATCTTCTTCTCGGGCTTCTTTGTATGTGTCCCACCAGTCTCCGGCTGGTCCTTCCAATTGGTTTGCCTCAAAGATCACTTTATCGGCCTCCCGTACTCGAACAAGAGTTAGCTTCTTCTCAATGACCCTTAACCAATCTTAAGCATCCATAGGTTCCTCCGCTGTGGCGAATGTGGGTGGCTTGGTCCTCATAAATTCTCCAAAGCTCGATCTGCCACGGTTGCCTTGGTTATTTGCAATGGCTTGCAGAAGTTGGGTTTGAGTGGCCATAACTCCGGACAGGGTAGTTAGGTCAGGTGTCTGAGTTTCTTCATTGCTGGTTGACGCCCAACGTCGGCTTGCCATCTGTGTAGGCCGGTTAAGTAAGTATCCTAATTTTCTAACTAGTTCTTATGGTTTTATCCCATTAAGGGAGTTGTTTTGGTGTGAACTTTGTTTTGCAAGCATGGTGGAATAAACTCATTTATAACACAACAGCAATAATATCATAAATAACATCACAGAGTTCCACAAATGGTACATAAATCATGATGCAATCGACTGCACACATACGCAGTACAAATAAGGTTCATCCAAAAGATACATCGAACTAACCATCAAGCTACTCGTCAATCTAGGTAAGGGGGGTGTCTCGCATACTATCCAAAAACCATCTGAAGCGAGATCGAAGCTGCAAAAGTCCTCCAGTCTAGTCATCCAGCCATTCGCAGGATCCCGGGGCAGGTAGAGGGTGGTCGCTGGCACGGGCAAACCTGAGTCCCCACGGCTCGGAAGTAGTGGCCTCTGGATCTGGCTTGGGCTTCTTGCCCGGAGGTCGTGTGCTCTTGCGGGCAGTGCTGAGGGTGCGAGGTCCTCCGAGGAAGGTGATGCGAGGAACAAGAGTCTCATCCTCTGAAGGGTCAGTGATGTCTGGCTCGGTCTCTGGCTCGGTGTCGGTCCCCTCTGTCTCGGAGTCGACCTGGATCGGAGTCTCCAAACTGGAACCCGGCTGCGGAGAAGGTGCGGGGATCAGTGGAGTGTGGACAATCTCCGGGGCAGGTGGCTATGTCACTGTCGGGTCCACTAGGTAAGGTGCTGACTCGGTAGCTAGCGTACTAGCCTCTCCCAGAAGAGCGTGGAACGCTGGTGGGTACGGCGGGGTGAGGAAGAAGTAGCAGTCACGCCCTACTACTGTGGAAGTAGAAGCTCTTGTGGTGCTGATCGTGGCTGCTCGAAGCTGCTCCTCCAGCTGGCTGACGTGCTCCTAACTCTCTCTCAGCTGCTCCTCAAGAGTATCCATCATCCCGCGGCGATCGTTGTACTAGTCAGATAACTGCTGGAACTGGTCGCCGTGGACCTGGAGCTGTGCCTTCAGTGAGTCTATCTCACTGCCCCAAGCCTGGTGCTCCTCCTCCAACTGAAGCTGCTGCGCTGTGAGGTCAGTCACCTCGGTCTCTAACTCTCCCACACGCCTCTGCTGGTCGTCGATCTCTAACAGAGCCTCCTCGTAAAAGTCGTCTACTACCTCAGCCCATCGTGACAGTCGGGTCACTATCGGGTTGTAGCAGCAAGGTGTGTCCTGAACTGTGCAGACGGAGTTGCTCTCCTCTCGAAACGGGTGGTGAGCAAACTCAGTACTCGCCAACTCAGCTCGGTGGATAGAGCTAAGTCGGAGGAAGGCCTCCCGTGCTGCATCCTGCATCGCGGTCTCCGGCAAGTCGCGACGGTGGCGTGTCGGGAAG